TTTTATTTTCGCATTTTCGGGTGTTTATTTTGATTGACTTTCAGTTTTCATTTGATTTCTCAGCAATGACAACGCTGACAGTTCGGTCGGTTCTAAGTATTTTGAAAAGTAGATAAAATCAAACAAATGCCCCATTTAGCTGCAGTTAATAAAAGCAAACAAAGGCACAATTAAAGCTTTGAATTCTTAAACATAAATGTACAGGAAAATATTTTTGCCACTCTTTCAAAATATACATAAAAAATGCATAACAATTTTGAGTGATTACAATTGTTTCAAGTGGAAAATACATTTTGGGAAAATAATACGAGTTTGTTTTTATTTAAAGAACAGAGCGTACAGGTTTTGACTGATGATAAAATATTGAAGAGTATATTATAAAAAAAAACAGCTCTGCCCTAGAAACGACCAAGAAATTATTTTTTTTTAATTATTTTTAAAGAAAACTATTTCTAAAAGGTTTTTAATAATAAAAACCACTTAAAAAATCGTATTTCTTTTTAATATAAAGAAAATATATACAAAATGTGAGTAAAAAATCGTATTAATTGCCCTTTTATATACTTAGTTATTACATAATTTTGAAAATTATATCATCAATTTGTACATAGTCTCAAATCAGTGGAGAACAATGCGAAAATGAGTTATTACATAATTTTGAAAATTATAACATCACTTCGTACACTGCCTTAAATCGGTAGAGAACATTGCGAAATAACCCGAAATTAACCCAATTTGAAGAACACATATTATATATACACGATAAATAAACTGCAGGCTAACTGCACCTCAAGGTTCGTTTGTTTACCATAAAACACACACGCACACACCCGAAAGAAACGTGCAAATTAAGAAAATTCTAATTAAAACCAAGAAAAACTAACACTAATTACAATTTGTGCCGTCGCTGTCGCCCTATAGACAGACACAAAAACACAGACAGATGAAAAAGAAAAAAAGATCTTACATATGTATATATCAAAAACGAATGAACGAACGTGCGGTACCACACATAAAATACATTTTCGATGAAGCAACTGAAATAGATTAAAACGAAATATACAACCAGATGCATCGGTATCTGTACGTACATATTGCCGAATCTGATTCTGAATCCTAGCCGGTACGAGCAAGTATATTAGTTGTGTCCACGAAAATAGAAGCTGCGGCGGCGACGCTTTCAACGCGTCTTTGCCCGCGTCAATTGCGCGTCATCGCAACTCAAAGATCCAAGAACACATAGAGAGCCAGTCTGCGTACTATTTATATATAGAAGCCTGCTATATAACACAGTACAGCAATATATATATTTATATATTTTTTTATATATATTTTTTTCTTGTTTTTGTTTTGGGCGGCACATAAGGGCAGGCGACAGTTCTGCGCAATTTTCTCGGGGTTCTTTTCGACTCGGTTCGGTGCGGCTCGGTCTTGACGTTTTTATCGCTTTCTGCGTCTTTCGCCTTCGTCTTCGATCTTCGGCAGCCCGCCCGTCAAGTGTGTCCGAAAATAGCAAGGTAAATGAAAAATTCAACACGGCAAAAACCGCCACCAAACGGGAGAAAATTCAAACAGAAAACAACAAAAAGAAATAAGAAAAACTTTTAGGCAAATGCTGACTTTCTAGATTCTAGAACAAATAAATAAAACCAATATTTTCTTTTCTTTTACTCCCCATTGGAAAAGCAACAACGTATTTTATATAGATCAAAAACAACAAAAAAAGAAAGGCCAGGGAAATTTGTTTAAACCGCCCAAGACTTTTCACTTTTTGCCATCTATAGGATATATGGGTCTATAATTTAGCAAGATTTCCGTAGTCATATTAATTCGTTCCGTCTGCTGTCTATAATAGAGATTTGCTCATAAAAATAATTTATATTAAGTATACGCAAAATGTTATGATCATCATTCCTTTGGTCAGCATTTTGGTTGCTTGTGGAATTTAAATAAAGCGAATTTATAAATAATTAAATGGGATTGACTAACTTAATGAGATCATCAGGTATGATATAAGTAGGAAATAAAGATCTTATAACATATACAAAATATACAAAAATTAAGCTGTTTAAATTATTTATTATTAAATAATACATATAAATAGATGTGTTAAGAGTTTGACTAGGTTCTTGAAGTATTATGTACCACAGAATTCCCCTAAAAAACATATTCCCATTTCCTGCATTTACATAACACCACATCAAAGCCATCACTCATTTGACACATTCCGTATTTTCGCCCATGTCCAACAATGAATAATGAACGAGGGACACATACATATACTATATAGGCGAAAATGACTGCAAAGATTATTTATCATAATTTGCCAATTTACGATTTTAAGACAAAGCTCATAAATTGACCAACAGAACAGCTGTGTCGCAGGCAATTAAGAGCAAATGGTGTCTCCCGTATCCTTAGGATTCTCTTGGCTTCCTGGGATATTTCTGGACCAGTTCCGTTGGCCATAATTCACATAGACTTAGCACGTGCGTGTGAAATTAGTGGTAGCATCGGGAACGGGATGGGGCAGCGGTCTGGAATGAATATTATTTGGACTCGCCGCAATTGGCAGCTGTTCAATAACACAGTTCCCGACCTAAGTCAACGGGGAAACTCTCCCGAAGTCATTCAGGCGCGTAAAAATAATGAGGGTGCTGACATAGAGAGTGCCGAGATATAGATATGTGGGCTCATTTCGCCGAACGATCGGATCAGACGGCGTGGCGGGGCGCGTCTGGGAGGGGAACTTATTGGCAAAACTCCATGATCATAAATTATGTCGGCTTCATTTGTTTACGCATCGGCCGGCAGGTGGTGCTTTAATTACATGACAGCATCATTCTCGGAACTATCGGAATGGGGGAATCCCTGTCAGAATCGCATCGAGTTGCTTGCCAAGATTTCGCATTACGCAATAAAGTTCATTGCCATCCCGCCTTTCTTTCTTTCACATCATTTTTTCTACAATTTGTTCTTTCCTTTTTTTTTTTTGGAAGAGAGCGTGAGAAAATTCTAGGCAAGATTTTGGCAAGCTACCATCTTGGCAGAGGCCCATTACCCATTCCACTGCTGAGCAGCAGCATTGGTGGCACAGTGTCCCCGGTCTATAAAAATTCAAGTTAAGAATAGATGTTGGAGGGGTGATACAAGTTAGTGATAAACGAAAATAAATAAATGAAGATAAATTTTAATAAAAAACCGATCTCTAAAGTTTGAGGGAGATATTTTTCTTAATTTTCAGAATGTAAAAAATCTGGGAAATATAAGAAATATAACTTATAATCTATAAATCAAATTTAAGAATAGAATTTGGAGGGGTTAAAAGTAATCAAAGCGACTTAAAATTTGTTTAAATCATAAATAACATAAACTAAGTAATAATTATTACAAATTGATAAAATTGAAGTCAGAGAAATTTAGAAAAAAAAGCTATACCCATTTCTATATCCAAACTATTTTTAATAACGAGGAGAAAGTAACAATTATTTTATTATACATATTTTCTAAAGACACAAAAATATATGCTATATTACAATTATCTATTTTAAAACAATATTAAAAATGATCAAAAAATTAATCACACAGTAACACAACTGCAAGCCTGAATTAGTAAAAGCTACAAAATTATACAAGAAAATATTTTGTGCCAAAGTTTTGGGCCATCGCCAGAGTTTAACGCCCAAAAATATTTCCAAATTAAGTTAAAGCCCCTCCCTAGTCCTGAAAATAATATATAACTATCTTTTGGCAGCCAAAACTAACATGCAATCTCTTTTCCCTGTTTCTTTGCAGCAACTGAAGGCCCAAAGGAAGCCTCGTTGGCCAATTGAGGAGGAGGCCCAGGAGGTCGAGCCGATTCTCCGCTGCAACAGCCGATGGCCTGACCAACCAATGGCAAAGCACAGCGGCGACGAAGCCCGACTGAAGAGAGGGAGCTAACAGGGAGTCAACAGCCTGGCAATGCATTTTTTTTGGCAACCTGTCAAGCGACCCCTCACACATACACACACACATACTTATACCGAAGAGTCCTGCCTTTCTCACATGCGTATACGTAATACATCAAGTATACGCCTGTTGGCCGGGCAGAAAGTAGCTGTGTGCCGGTGTGTGTGTGAGTGGGCCACAAAGATGCCAAACAGTGTTGCCAACTGCATTGCCGGGCTGACACCGACCCGAAGATGCCGCCCTCCTCCCGCCCAGGAGGCCAACGACGAGTCCTTTGCAAGCAGCGCATTGGCTGCAGGACGACCGGCGACAGGACGACCAATCACCAATCACATCGGGGCTTGTGCGCACTATCCCGGCCGTTAGCAGGACGAGAGGCATAGATTCCAGGACCTCAGCCAGAGGCCCCTAGCCGATTGCCACTTTTAAAATATATATCTTACACTTAGCAGTCTCCTATTTTTTAGTTTCCCATTCGTAAGTTGTATGCCCCAAAGCCGAAGTCCCCCCGAACAACATCGCCGCGGGGGAACGACACATAGTCTAGCGATAGAGTTAGAGATAGTTTCAAGCGGAAGATATATGAAGACGATTTCAAGAATGCATAAGAGAAAAAAAGGAATAAAATTTGTAAAGCTTCAGAGCGGCACAACACAAACGATATTTGTTTTTCTCTGGAAGGGTTCTATTTTCTTGTTGGTATATATTTTAATTATTAAAAGTTAAATCAAAATGATATATTGGTAATTTGGTAACAAAAAGAGGGCTGACATTAAAGACTATAAAAAAAAAGTATAATAACAAAATAACCATTGAAAGTAAACTAAATATATACAATTTATACATTTTTTGAGCGAATATGCATAAAAGAAAACATTTAAAGACATTTAAGACAATATTCCAGAAAAACCAATAAATTGAACTTATTGAACGCTAGAAAGTTCCACGAAATATATGATCTCACTTTTCCAGTGATAAGAGGTCTCGGATGAATATTTAACGAATGCCACCAGCTCCGATTCGTTCAGTTAAAGCGAAAGTTGGTCGCAATGGCTTCGAACTGGTTTGGGATTTTCTTTGCAGCCTGTCTTATCCTCCAGCTACAGGGAATCCTGGTCCAAATGGTGTACCCTGACTGCGGCATAGTCTCGCCTCAAAGCAGGGTCGTAGGTGGCCAAGCCGCTGGTCTAGGATCGGCTCCTTTTATGGCGTATTTGATGAAAAATAATCTCTACCACTGCGGCGGTTCGATCATCAACAAAAGTTTGTATTTCACATTCGCTGTTAGTGCCATTTTTTTTAATAAGTGTTAATCGCTTTTATTTCAGGATATATCCTTACAGCCGCAAGCTGCTTGAATAGTGACATGTAAGTAGCATTCCTTTTAACAAAGGAAATCCATTCTCTCACCTTTTGCTAACCGATCAATGATCCAGAACGGTGCGTCTGGGCGAGTATGACGACAGAACGGATCCAGATTGCGTCGAAAAAGTATGCATGCCCCTCCATGAGGACTTCAGTATCTCGAGATTCGCCTACCATAAGGACTACAATAATATTACTCTTGAAAATGACATAGCTCTGATCCAATTAAGCAAGGCTATAGAGTTCAAAGGTATGTTATCAAACGTTACTTTTTTGAGAAACTAATTTTGGTTATTGGAGTGAAGAAGTTGCAACAGTTTATAATCGAGATTAAGCTTATATGACGGCCTATCCTTTTCCCTAGAACACATTAAGCCGATCTGCCTGCATAAATTTCCTGGAAATGCGACTAGACCGAACGAGTACCAGGTCTACGGCTGGGGAGCGACCAGACACAGTGGTAAATCTCATTCTTTACAGACCACGATATTGCGCAACTACCCCAATAGCCGCTGTAGAAGGCCGTTCACAATGAACATCAATCCGAATGTGATCTGTGCCGGAGCTCGGAATTCGGACACATGTCAGGGCGACTCCGGCAGCCCGCTGGTAACTCACGGCCACTATGCCGGTAGGACTCGCTATGTGCAGATGGGAATATTGAGCTTCGGCACCCGAAAGTGCACAGGTGCTGGAGGGTACACAAATGTTCGAAATTACGGCAGCTGGATCTTAGAAAGGATGCGTATTATGGACAAGCGGAATTAAATTCTCTTTTAAATTGGTACGAACGGAATGTCAAAATAATACTGATAATATAAATAATACAAAAAAGGCCTCCAATTGAAAATTCTTTTCTGGGACATAAGCAGTTCTTTAACTTTTGTGTGTGGGATTAAAGTCAAATAAGACTAGTAAACGGATTGTTATTAAGATTTTAAAAATATGGAAAATAATAATAAATCTGGTTTTATATATGGATAATTACAAAGATTTATGGCATTTTCTCTCAAAAGTGAGGAGAAGCAGTGACTTCAGACAAACTTCAGCGCAGATTTTGCTGCAGTTATTTTACAGTTTTAGATTTATGTGTAGTTGGGCATGGCGAGCTTCGGCCACCAACAATGCTATCATTAAAAGTTTTCAATCTATTTTTGTCTAAAACATCGGATTCATATTATCAAATAGTACTCATATATGTATGTATACCGAAATTTGGGGCTTGGGTCTGGGTCTAGCTTGGTATGTATGGTATATCTGTATATTTTATGTAGTATATACATTTTGGTTTCGGAGATGCCTACTTCTGGGAAATACAAGTGACATGTTCTTGACCTTGCGCACATTCTAAAGGCAGTAAAGTAGGGTCCAAATATTTCAGGGCTTCACTGTTCTTGGAATTCGCCATTATTCTTCTCAGAAACTGAGATTAAAAGGCAAGATTTAAATCGAAAAGATCAAATTCTTTAAAATAATTTAAGCTGAAAAAATTCGACGAAATCTCTTATTCGACCTTTCGACTTATAAGCGTTCTTAAATGAATATTTAAGAAACGATGCAAAGATCAGTTATTCAGTTACCGCGAACCTCCGTCAAAATGACTTGGCTCGCTTTTGTCCTCGGAGCCTGTCTTGTCCTCCTTCAGCAGGGAGTCAATTCCCAATTTGTGTACCCTAACTGTGGACTATATGAAACATCAACTGTTAGGATTACGAGTGGAAAGGATGCTCCAATGGGATCGGCTCCTTTTATGGCGTACTTAATGAAAAACAACAAGTATCATTGTGGCGGCTCAATTGTCAACCGCAGTCCGTATTTCACTCGTGAAGCTTGTACCTACTATTGTAATTAATAATCCCCCTTATATTTCCAGGATTCGTCCTTACGGCCGCACACTGCGTGGGTATGAATATGTAAGTAGTATTCAACTTAACAAAATAATATTAAAACAATTTCCGTGATTAAGGACGGTGCGCCTGGGAGAGCACGATAATAGGAGTAACCCAGACTGCGAGGGATTCGTGTGCATGCCCAGCCATCAGGACTTTGGTATTGCGCGCATCGCATACCATAGGGAATATAATGGTGGCACAAAATTTAATGACATAGCTCTGATTAAATTAAACGGGAATATCATTTTTAATGGTAGGTTATTCCACGGTAATAGTCAATGGTGAACTAGTCAAAAACAAAAACGTACGATTAAGAATTTTTTTAAGCTATATATCACACTTTATTTTGCAGTGCACATTCAGCCGATCTGCCTACACTTATATCCTGCGAATGCTCGCAGAGTTACTGAGTACCAGGTCTTCGGCTGGGGCCTGACCCACTACGCCGGTTCTACAGCCCATGTTCTTCAGACCACAAATCTGACCCACTTCCCAAACAGCCAATGTGAAAGAGAGTTCGATGGGATTAGCGTGAGTAACAACCAGTTCTGCGCTGGATCGAGCACTGGAACGGACTCCTGTGGCGGAGACTCAGGCGGCCCGCTAGTAACCACGATCGAAACCGCCGATGGAGAGAGCCGCTACGTGCAATTGGGAGTAGTTAGCTACGGCGACTCTTCCTGCATGGGGACTGGGGTGTACACATATGCACCTAACTACGGTCAGTGGATCTTGGAAAATATACGAAAGATGAGAATGTACTAAAAATATTGTTATGGTTTCTATAATAATGGAACGATACAAATAAATTTAGCCTTGGCATGACCAAGAAGTAAAAAACCCAAGTAAAGAGTGCTTTATTTTCTTATATTTTCAATTAAATAATGTCTTTAAGAACATCATTTCGCTCGTTACCAATCGTCCTCCGAACGAAACGGAAACGACGAATGATTGTACACTGTCTTCTGGGCACCTTCCATGCGCCACTTTAGGTGTTTGGCAACTAGGAAACTCTGGATGACGAAGACGGCTAGGTTGACGGACAGCAAGCTGTAGTTCTTTGGTGTTATCACCACCGAGTAGCGTGACCAAATTAAGCCCGTGGCTGCTAGGGATATGCACTGGTTCAGCGAGACGTTTTGGGCGGGCCGACTCAAAGTGTCGCCAAGACCAGCTACCACCAGGCCCTTTCAGTTTTTTAAAGTTAAGATATAAATATTTAAACTTGAATGATGACTATTAAGATAAACTTACCCATTTAAATAACGGCGCCCAAAAGAATACGGTTCGGGGACCTGCTGGTGAAGTCCAGAACGGTTGCATTGATTGGGGGACGAGTGGATCTAAAGAGTTAATGATCACATTGTAGAATTTCGACAAAGGTCCCGAGCCTCTTGACATTTTGTCTAAAAACCATAAATTTAAAATAATTTCTTAATGTTTAGGAACGTAACTTTCTGAAATGAAACAAAAGGCTAGGGTGAACGACGGCTTCCTTTTATTTTTGTATGAGCTTTATTTTAGTTATTTAATTTTTAAATTCAAAATAGTCTGGTAATTCTGCAATTGGGAGTAGTTGGCTTTGGCGAGCCCTCTGCTTTGGGATCTTGTATCTCAGAAGATGAGCTTGTCATTGAGGGAACGTTGCTAACCGAAAACCCCATAAATCTAATCTTGATAACACCAACAAGTAAGAAAGCTAAGTCAACAGTGCTTTATTTTTACTTTATATATTAAGTTAGAAATTGTTTTTTAGACGATCCCTCCGATCTTTACCAATCGTCCGGATCGAGCGGAAAATCGGAATAATTGTATACTGTCTCCTGGGCACCTTCGCTGCGCCACTTCAGGTGCTTGGCAATCAGGAAGCTCTGGATGATGACGATGGCTGCGTTGACGGCAAGCATACTGTAGTTCTTTGGGGTTATCACCATTGAGTAGCGGGTATAAATTAGGCTCGCGGCTGCTAGAGACATGCTCTGGTTGAGCGAGATGTTCTGGGCGGGCCGTTTTAAAGTATCGCCGAGCCCGGCTACCACCATGATCTGCAAATAATCACATAAGATTACCAAATTCTGGGTGTTGATTGTATATATCTTTATTTTTAACGTTATGATTTATATCCTTGGTTAATTAAATATTTATGATGTCTATTAAGATGCGCTCACCCATTTGATAAACGGCCCCCAAAAGAATACGGTTTGGGGACCTGCAAAAAAATTTAAGTTATTTATTAAATTAACCAAATATACTAATAACCTGCTGGTGAAATCCAAAATGGTTGCAGTGCTTGTGGAACTAACGGATCTACAGAGTTAATGATCACATTGTACAGTTTTGACAAAGGTCCTGAGCCCTTTGACATTTTTAATGAGAACTATGGATTTAAAATAATTTATTAATGTTGTTTTAATTTTGAAATGAATCTAAAGGCTAACGTGTCCGAATTAATATTATATATTTTGGTGTACAAATTTGCTTTCTTTCCGTTATTTTATTTTTAAATTCCGTTAGTCTGGTAACCCCGCTTAGGGGGCGCAATTTTCCAAGCGATGTCTGGCAGCGCTTTCAGTGTGGCCGCTGCCACGGAGGGTAAAATACCCGCTTTTAGGATCGCTCTTACTTTTCATGGCCGGGCACACTGCATATGAGCAACGAAAAAAAACAATAATAAACAAGAAACTTTAACCAAGAAAATAAAAAGAAAATGGATCAGGGAAGCAGAAGAGGACGCTCTCCCCACTGGGAAAGAAGGCGGGCTGCTAGACCTGATGCACTGACCTACAAACAACTGCAGAAAATGCCTCTGAATCTGCGAAAGAAAGCCGTGCGGGAGGCTCGAAATCGGCACGAGAAGATCCCGGGCAGGCGAAAGGAGCGGAAAAGGATTTCCCGGGAACTGTCCACTACTCCACGCCGCCAGCGCAACGACTTTGACCGATCCGAGCACAATGCCATGCTGGCCAGCACCTCGCAGGAACTACGACGCATCCTGGCGAGCTGCGAGACGCTCTCGGATATTCCGCACGACATTACGCCCACTGAGTTAATGGGAGAGGTAAGGGGGTATTTTGGTTAAAAACCTGAGAAAGTCCTTGAAGATTTCTTATTAACATTTAAACTAATATGTACTTGATATTTTGTAATATATTTATTTATAACTTTGGACGGCCATCCACGTAGTGACGATGAGCACCTCGAGTGTCTGCTGCTTAAACAATGCTTTTAAATTACTGGGCTCAGAGGTCGATTACGAAACTAATTAACAAATAAGTTATCATTTATTTTGGTTAAATATAAACAATCTTTATTTGCAACAAAAGTTCATAAACCATTGATTTGCTAAGTTCAGTGCAATCGTTACTTTTATCTTACCTGCTGAATTAAGAAATTTATTATATTAACAAAAACATTCTCAAACAAATGTCTCTATGTAGGTGCTATAATATTAGTAGTTTAAAATTCGGAATAAATTTTTTATACTAATCTCTTAAATTTCTAAAAAAAATTATCTAATGGTAATATTTGCTTCCATAAAATAATTTTTATTGGAAAATTATTTTTACTCGCAGAAAAATTTATGTTTACCATAGTAAATAACAAGAAATAAATTCTTGAAAGTTTTTGAATTCAAAGATTTTAATGCTAAAATGCTTATCAACAGTATACTTGATTTACCACCAGAACCTACCTACCCATAAAGAAATCTTTAAATGTACAATCTAAGCTTTAGCCATTCTAATAATCTTTTATATAGCCCATTGTTAAATTATATTCATAGTTCGCCGATCTTTTAAATTCTAATAAAATCAAATTATGAAATTCTAGAAAGATTAATGTGCTAATGCTGATTGACAAAAGTAGATCGACCAATTGGCTCCTCGCTCCCCCACAAAATATAAAATACGTCAAGCTTATGTACATACATATGTGTGCAGGAATACACCTACAATACCCACATTAGCATCGATGTGCAATTAGCACATTGCGGGGCTCGTTCTGGCAATGCTTTCGTCACCAATATTGGCTGCTACTGACCTACTGCCGACCACTCAATGTGCTAATTGGTGAAAATTAATTATTAGGAAGAACCCGGTTCCCGTTACGCGGTACCATTGCACACTGGTTTTATTAAAGAAAAGTATCCATTTCATAATTCCAGATAGCCATCGCCGAGGGTCAGGCCACCACAGTCCACGTGCAGCGAGATGGACTCAGCACTCTCACCGTAGTGGTCAGTATATCCCATTGAATCAATTGAGCAGCTGCTTGCACTCGGCTTCGATTAATTCTTTGTTGTCTCTGTAAAATTGTGATGAGTGTTAATCTAGGAAAGCTGGTAAATCAGGAAAATAGAATAGACCTTCTAGAGAATCTCGCCACCTTTTCCATTCCGAGTCCGGATTGTGGTTCATGCTTCTCCAAAGGAGCAGGCACTGGGACACAGAAAGAAAGGCATTACAAAGCATGAAGCTATGGTTTTTTGGCCGGATAATCATGGACCAGCGCGACCACAAAGCCCCGCTGAACGCCAAAACTAGAGTTTGCCTCTTGGATATAAGATGCGGAGGACGATTAAAGACATCGCCCAAACCGGCCAGGACAACGCACTGAGGAGGGGTTAACATTTGAGATTTGTACAAGAACAAGGATGTAGCCTAGCCCACAACCTACCCATTTCACAACAGGGCCCCAAAAAAACACTGTGCGTGGACCTGAATAGATATGGATTTTGAATAAACGGAAATTTTCCTGGCAATCCTTACCCGTGGGCGAGAGCCACAGAGGCCGCATAAGTCGGGGAACCAATTTGTCTGCGTTCCTTATTAAGCAGCCATATAAGCGAGTAAAAGTTCTCATTGTTGTAATTTTGTCCCCAATAGAATTTGCATTATCTACTTAGAATTTTGAATGCTCACGCAAGGAACGTAGAAATATTTCTAATTGTGTTTTTTTTGGGGACTTATTTTAATAAAAACCAACAGCGCAAGAAGTACACATGGAGGCAAAGTCAGGATCCTGGATCCTTAGGGCCAACCAGGTGCCGATCTAGCATCAACCTAAAGACTTCATGTCCAAATCCAAACTCTGTGAGACTTGTTCGCTATGCTGAATTTCTTTTGGCGTTTCCCTTTTCTGATTTAATTTCAAGGTTAAACTTCCCTCTAATGGACTCTGCCTCTTTCCCGCTCCATAAACCCTTCTCAAAACAACTTGTCGTTTGATTCTCAGTGTCTTTCTGAATTTTTGCAGCTCCACCAAAGTGAGCCGACGATCGCCCAGCTGAAGAGGGCAATAGGTTTGATCTCTCAGGCACAGCACAGGCGCAAGCAACGCGAACGGCACGAAGAGCGTCTCAGGCGTCGGGGAATTGCCGAAGAGTCGGCGGCTGGCGAGTCGGGGCACGAAGATGGGCGGCCGAGACGGCAACCAGTTGTGGCTATGGCCAGCTCCACCGGCGAGTTAGTTCACTCCGCTCAGCGCAACGGGCACGATCATCGCGCATTCGTCTCGTGGCGATTTCTATGGCGCTGCTTTGGCCTGCTCAACGTGGACACCAATCAGCCGATCGACGACCGAAGATCCAACGGCAGAGCCACATTAAAGGAGCTAGGTATTGAGAACGCGGCCACCCTGAAGTTTGTACATCGCGTCAAGTATTTCGGGCGCCAGCGGCAAAGCTAATGCCGAGCCAATGATAGTGATAGTGACTTCCTCAATCTTTAACCACCCGATTGGAAAGTCGGGCAGCAATCCGCGGACAATCGAGATCAAGGCCAGTGCATTATGGATCGACTGGTTTGGCTTTCGCTTTGCATTTCACTGGGATTGCAGCTCCTGGCCACTCTCTCCGTCGTCGTCGTCGGCGGGCTGCCGTTCGAGGACGGTAACAACAATAATGTCAAAATCACACGCCGCAGTCTGGAGCTGACCCAAACTATCAACATCCAGCGGCAGGAGTACATGCAAAGGCAATGCGAACTGCTGGGAGAGCACACGCAAACGCTGGAGGACCTCAGCGAGCTGCAAATGGACCACATGATCGTGGACAGGGAGCACAAGCTCCTCTACTGCTATGTGCCCAAGGTATGGATGAATCTCGTGTCAAGTCAGCCAAATTATAAAATTATTAAAGTCTGCGTCGGCAGTTTAAGATAGCATATTCAGCGCAATAAGTCAAAGTTTTATTTAAGATTGTTTCCGAAAACATCGATGATTTCATTTTAATTTAAAGTTTTATTTATTTTAAATTGAAGCCTAAATTGTTTCTTTAGTTAATCAGAATTCTCCACTAAGAGCAACCCAAATATGAATATTTTCTTAGCGGTTGCCATGTGTTGTCCCAAAAAAAAAAAAAAATCAGAACATTAGTCAAAAACCGGCATCTGTCAGTTTTCACATTCTGTCTCTGCTTTTTGTTTATAGAAACTTGTTTTCCCCACTAAGATCACGTGTTTTTGTGGATCTTGCGGCTTGTGGCAAACACTTCCGATCGTCTTGTAATAATTTCTGGGCAATATTGTATAGAGAAACCCTTATAAAGACAGTCGGATTTCAATCGACACCTAAACTAGATTTATAACGATTTTATTACAAGCGCATTTGATAGCCCAAGCTCAACGTACTGGCTTATCGGAAAGCGGAGTCCGTGCTCATGTCAGCATATATATTGTAAGTGGCTTCAAGTGCTGATTTCACCTTTTTTCAACGATCAAATACAACAAAAAGAATTATACTTAGAGCAGCAACTACAACAGCAATTATAGGCTATTACTTCAACAACAATGCTAATTTATTTTCCATTTCAATGCAGCTTAATGCGCAAATCTGGTATGCCCAAGTCAAAGGCCAAAGTCTTGAAGTGTCTGTGCTTTTTTTCCTTTGAATGCTTCACTAGGTTTGCTCTCGTTGACTCCTATTGATAAGCTTAATTTAAATATATATTTTTTCTGTGAAATGAGATTATGTTGGCCCCATCCAATGACGTGCGTGGCAATAGATAATCTCTCTTAATTTAATTAATATAAGGATCACCTGGGGAATAAACCCCACTTATTAATTTGCCTAATTGGATTAGGAAATTGAGTTAGAGGTAAATCAACTGGAGGAAATGGCCTCAACAGTTTTCCCTTATCAACCCAATGAGTTATTGGAAAACATTAAACCAAAACTATGAGATTAGATTGCCATGTGCCGGCCGCCGAGGTGTTTGAAGTCGGCTGAGGTGTGCGACATACATGCATGTACACATATGTGAAGTGGGGACAGAAATAGCCTGCTGTTTCATGTTGCCGTTGCCCTTTGAACCTTTACTTTTCGCCACTTCATTTCGGTAATTTGAGGAAACTGAGTAATTGACAGTGAATGATGAAGCATATCTGGGGAATTTGTAACGATTTATCAGTTATAGAAGAAGGACTGTGGAGGTAGTGTTACATGATACTTACCCAGTTAATTTTTGATTAGGGCAATAGTTTATTAGAGCAAAAGTCTGTTGCCTTTTTAAAACTACAAAAACTAGATTAACTTTATATCAAACTGCATTATATAATATTTTTAAAGTGCAGTTCCTTGTGTGAGACCATATCACAATTCAGATTGTCTCATAAATTACCATAAGTGGCACTTTCAGAGTTAGACACACAATGTCCATGGCAGTAGCTAACTTGACATTAGGAGGCGTGTCGTTAGAACATGCCACCTGAATGCCTCGACTCGATATACGTTCCCCGTTATCGGCTGGCATTTCTTCAATGACTATCATCGGACATGGGCGTAACTGGCTTCGATTTCATCAAGCAGCTGGAGGGGTTAGTGTTACAGCCAGCGGTTACCAATTTCAATTGTAACTTTCGCATTCTCATTCGCCACTCACAACACACTAGTTTAACATTTTTCCCAGCCCGTTCTTCCATGAAGTCGTAAATTGTTTATGTTTACCCTTGGCCAATAGCCCCTCGAAATGCCTGCCCAACAACTGCTCCTCACTAAGTGGAGGGCTCGCCACACACTGGTCCGTATTTTATGCGGCCATCGCGTGTTGCCTTAATGGCCATAACAAAATTGCGTTAAGTTTAACTTACGGCGCTTATTGCTGATTACGTATTGAGAGTATTTCAAGAAAGACTTTTGAACTGTTGCCGTAACTTATCAGTTATTGCATTTATTATAAATTTAAAATATATTGATAAGTCTAAAAGTAAAAATTGTGTCTCATAATTTTGGCTGAATATGCTGTTTCTCTCGGGTTCTTCTGTAGCTAAATATAGTGGTTTGTAGAGTTCTATTCTTCTAATCAAATATATTTTCTTGTGTTAAAAAACCATATACATTTCTTGGGCATCCCTGTATATAGTCATCTAAGATGCATATATTCAGGCCGATCAACGTTTTTTTGTTACTTTCCCCAGACATATTGACACAAAACTTAAGTATTGAAAGTTGTGTAAACATGAAAAAGTTCGGCACACTCATTCTTAGTTCTCACTTGACTGATTGAATAGAGGAAAATGTTTGTACTATTACCACATCGTCATGAATTGAATGTTATTTAAACAGAAAATCAGTACTGACAGGTACTGGGACCTGATACTGATATAGAAAATATCCCCGATGTGTTTAAAAATCATTCGATTTACTTTGCAACATTGCCTGTGATATTTACGTATATTTTTTCAAATCAATCTCTCTTCCACATAAGGAACGCATTGTTTGTTTTTGTAATGTGAAATGTTTTTGTGGTATTTAATTGCGCTCGACATTGCCCGTCCAACTAAACGTTTTTACATATGTACTTAGGATGTATGTACTTACGTATATACCAGAGTGTATAGTGTTCCCCTTTTTTTTGTTGTGCCTAGTCGTTGTTGGTTGACTTAAACGACTTGACTTATTGCCCCATGCTTTCGTAGTAGGGAAACCTTCTCCGGCTGGCCATCTGAGCAAGATCTTTTTCTCTTTTTTGTTTTTGGCGAAAATTATAATTTATTGCACTTGACAATTAAAACCAAAGTAATTCAGCTCGTATAAAAACGAGGTCTTCGAAGAGATTTCATTAAGCGATTAACCTCCTCTCGGAGTCGCAAAAAATAAAAAACAACAAAAAAGTCGTTCGGTTTGTCGGGTCACTTGTTGTTCATTACTTGACCAAGATATCATACAGCTCATGTTACAGATCAGTTTGAATTTCTTTTAAAAATAATCTTTTTCAACCGGTTTATTCAGATTTTTTTAATGGATCGTAAAAAGGGAGCGGGAAAATATATATACTTGTGTGATATTTATCACAAATAAATGATCCTAATAGTTATTCTTTATTATTTCTTAAATATTTTGTTTTATCCCCGATTATCTCCAAGTGTTTTGCAAAAAAAATTTTTAATCATAAAATTATAACCATAACTACTTTTAAAAACTACCCTAGAAACCCATCAGATATGGTAAGAATACTTTCGTCGTGAGTGTACATTAGACACCTGCGCCTAGATTTATCAGACCCCTATCTCTACCCAAACCACTCATATACACTTCATAGAAGGCCTGACTGATATGTTCCTGCTTATCGGTGGTTCCCTAAAATTATGCTTGCTTGTGAAATGACACAGAATTGGGTGATTCACTCGAGGAGCGCACAAAATACATCATTCACGGGAAGAAGACTCGACCTTCTGGCTGAGATACTTGAAAATGTAAACTTTAGATATTTTTTTGGAATTATTTCTCTTGTTTATTTGGTTTAATTGGCAGATGAATAGTGTTCAACTAAACAATATTTGAATCTGTTTCTCTGCCTTCAGGTTGCCTGCACGAATTGGAAGCGAGTGCTGATGATGCTCACGGGCAAGTGGCGCAATGGAACCGATCCTCTGCTTATTCCGGGATCCTTAGCCCACTCGGTGGGAATGTTTAGCAAACTGTACGATTTAAGCGAAGCCGAGCAGCGACAGGTGCTTAGCGAGGAGTATACACGTTTTATCCTCGTGCGACATCCCTTCGAGCGGCTACTCTCCGCTTATAGGAATAAGTTGGAAGGGGATTCCCCTAGTGCACGCTATTTTCAGTCCCGTGTAGGTCGCCAGATCGTAAGGGAACTGCGGCCAGGAGCCAGTAACGATTCCCTGGAAAATGGCGACGATGTCAGCTTCGGGGAATTTGTCCAATATCTGCTAACTCCGGAACTGAGTCGAGCCAATCAGTCGGATTACAACGAGCATTGGGAGGTGATATCCAAGCTCTGCAATCCCTGTGTGATGAAATACAACGTTGTGGGTGAGTTATACCTAATTTAAAACCGTTGGAATCCGATTATGAAATTATAACTATTTCACAGGAAAATACGACACTCTGCTGGACGACTCCGCCCTGGCATTGTATCTAGCTGGAGCCAACAATTTGACCTTCCCCACTGGTCACAAGCCATCGAGCACGAGGGCGAATCTGCGCACCTACTTCGATCCCCTGCCAATCGGTGCCATACGCAAGCTGTACGAGATCTACGAGGAGGACTTCCGCCTGTTCGACTACGGATTGGACGATGTCCTCGGCTTTGAGTTTGGCTGATTCTAAACTATTGCTCTCTCTTCACTTTCAAGTCGCCACCATAACGCTTTCCACTGGAAAAGATTGTGATTTTAGGCTAGATTTCGTATAGTTAAGAGCAGTTTAATGCGAATATTAATTTAATAGAGAATACCTCCCCTCACCACACAACTACTTCCAAGGGTTTCAATTATAGTTGGCCCGAGTTGTGTGTTTATCTATTATAAAGTGATTCAAGAAGCTCAAAGTGTTTAATAATTAAGATTGATACCATTTGATGATGATTAGTTAGTATTTAGTCTGTACTTTATAGATCAAATGTAGGTTCAAAATATTAAATATAGTAATTTGTAAATGATATTTACGAAAATGTGTAAGTACTTATGATGGCATAATTAAAAGTTGAGTTCGATTGATAAATCCAATCTCATCTTTACCTTCACTATTAAATGGAAAGCTTTACTACCGTACCCCAGGGTTCATAACATATGATAATAGATGGTATGTATATGTAAAAATACTCAATTGATTCGTTAAAATAACCATCGGTTCAAAGAACTCATCAATTAAACTACTTCTCGCGCCTTTATATGGAAATTGATTTCATGGACAATAAAGAGCTTATAAACCAGCAGTGTTTTTCTTCATTCAATTAGGTGCTGGTTATAAAAAACTTTATAAATGATTGAAGATTAAAGTATTTTATAAGAATAACCCTTTAAGATTTCATTATAGTCCTTTCAATGTCTTAAAGTAGTCAACAATTTTTAAAGAAAGCGATTTCATTCTAACGAAAGCAATTAACTTTATAAGTTTTCTAATTATTTATAATATTTAAATATTTTTTTGCAATAATAATTTAAAATTGCATTGCAATCTTTAAGAATTCTGAAGTAAATAAACAATTTGAACCGAAAGCGATTTATTTCTAACGAAAGCCAATAATAATTTTCTTCAAGTTTCAATTAAATTTGTTAAGTTTTCTATATAAATATTCAAACTAATTCATGAGTAGTTCTATATTTTTCCCCAATGGTATTTCTATTTGAATTGTAATATTCTCGGGAAGTAATAAAGTCTTGAGCCTAGAAAGACCCAGTGACAGACTGACTTTAGCCTACGTCAATTTAAGAAAACCCAACGTCTTATCAGGCGAGAATTCCAGAAAACTACTCGCAATGAATGTGCTTTTCTTCGCATTGACATCATTGCACTCTCTTATCAGTACAAACCTCCCCTGAGAGCTGATATTTTGCCAGAATTTCACTTTTTTCATTGGCTCTTTGATGGCATAGAAGCTTTCATGTTTTTCGTCAGCGGGAAAACAAAAAGCTCAATCAACTCGACGGCGTCTGGGTTGTTTATCACCAAGACATGGACACGGACGATTATAATCGCGAACATGTGCATATAGTATGTATAAGGGGGGCAGACCCTCGATCAGCGGTCAGATGAATTTAAATACGCAGTATTGTCAATAAGCGACGGCGGAAAGGCGCCGAACGCACTCGAGGGAATGTTGGCAGACATTTCAGATATCTGATAGATACTTTTATCGCCGCCACATATCCGAAATAAACAGGCGAACAGATAGCACATGATGATAAACCTGCGCACCTGCCATGCCGGGCCTCCTTCCGACGGACTCGGTTCAAGGTCACTACGCAGAAATAAAATGCAATGATCAATTCGATTTAAGTCCTAATATCTAGATATTTTTAAAACTAAACAGAAAAAGGTATTAAAAGAAGCATAACAAAAATGTTTTAAACTTTCTGGCTTAGAAAAGACTTTTTAAATATGGTTTTTTTCAAGATGACTCCATTGAGTATTTAAAATTTGGATTATAATTCACTTGATGAGCAAATGAGAATATCTTTTTTCCAGTGCACTAAATTAATATTCACTTCTTTTTCTTCTTTTTTTTTGTTATTCAATGACTGCTTCGTTTATTTTGCTACGTCCGTTTTTCGCTTTTTTTTTTTTTGTTTGTTTGTTTGCCTCAATAACAACTTTAAGTTAGACATTGACAAGACATTCGAAATTATTATTATGTATTTTTTGCATGTGTGCTTGGGACTCTGTTTAGCTTTGGCAAAAGAATATGCATATGTGTGTGTAGGTGCTCTTTTTTGTATGTGACAAGCAAGGCATTCGCGTATCATATTCTCACATTCCTCTCTCCGCACAATGATCCCAGTCCCCGTCCCCCGTCATCAGTCCTTGAATTCAGATTTCCGCATCGCTGCCACGCCTCCAACTCGTTGTGCCCGCTGAGCTTAGTCATTGTAGCTGTAGCGCTGCTTCACGGTGCGGTACTTCTTCAGGGAGTACAGCGCCTCCACCTCTTTGGCCAAGTAGCGGCCTTGGGCGAGCAGGGCAACGATCTTCTTGGGGTCCTGCTCATCCTTGTGATTCATGAAGGCATCGTGGATCTGTTTGCGAAACTTCTGCGGCCCGTTCAGGCCGGGATATTCGCGGCCCAAATACTGCAACTGCAATTGGGAGGCAAAATGTTTACGCAATGTCAGGTGGGGGTGGCTCATTCGCTTTTTTTTTGGGTGGGGGCGCACGTGGAACCGGAATTCCTGCGGTCTGCCGACCCGGAAAACTTACGTGCTTGTAGAGGCTAATGACTTTCGAGCGCAGCTGTGACATCACCAGTAATCAGCGAGATTGGTTTGTTTGTTAAATGCAAGTTATCAACTAATTTGGGAGAGCTTGCAGCTTTTATTTTAAAATATTCAAGTGAATCACACGCAGTGTGGCCGTGGCGTTGCAGATGAGAAATACCTTCCGGCTCACTGAAGAGCATATTTCAATTAAGACTAAAGTACCCTAAAAATACCGTGCAAAAATACCAACCTAAAATTAAATTAAATTTAAATTGTAATAAGCTTTTGTCCGAGTAGCCTTAATTAAATAATTTTGTTTAAATTAAATTAAAGAAGATGTTATAATAATTAATGAGTAAGCAATAGGAATTTAAATTTTAGTATTTTTATACTACATTTTCACGCATGCTTCTCCAACCCTCGACGGTATAATCCAGTCCTCGTCGATCAGCTGTTGAAGAAGAAGAAGAAGCGATGGGAGTGTTTTCGTTCGAGGCGAAATTATTTTTATTATTTTCGCGCTAAATAGCAAGCTGTTGAGGAGCCAATTTAGTTTAGAACGCGACCGAGTAGTTAGCAACTCTCGCTGTGATAGCGGCCGACGCGCCGCCCGGATGAAAGTGCGTGGAAAAGCGAATCGAAAATTGAGACACCTCCGCGACCTCCGATACAAAGTGGGAAAAATCGAACCTGTGTGCGTGTGCGTGTGTAGCCCTGTGTGTGTGTAGAATAATAAATTTAATTAAAAGTCTAATGTGCAACGCTGCCAGTAATCTGTAGCCGAAAAAGTAATGCCATTGTATATATCTATATAGTGTGTTTGTGATCGATGAGAATGAGTGCAGCGATGAGCAATCGATAATCGCAAGTGCGCACCTTACAACAACAACAAAGCAGGCAGGCACACCTAAACAGCCCACTTCCCCTCGCCATAACACACACACACAGTAGCTGGGAGATGGCGGACTTGGTGGATATGGCAGCGGTGGAGGAGACCAGCGACGAAGGCTTTCCGCTGGGATTTCCAGAAGTCGGCACCTGGAACACCACACACAATGTCGCCTTCAACGACATGAATCTGGATGCGCGCATGGTAAGAGGACTGTGTAAACCGAATACGCAATACGACCCCAAACCAACACTCGCGCACTCAGTCGCATTATAAGGCTATATAATTTGATTAATATGTTCTGGTATGTGCCAGCGAGTGAATCAACCGACAAACGGGCTTTATCTCCAAGTTTAATAGTCAGGGAGGCAGTCGGAGTGAGGCACCACCGAAGGAGGAGCTACGGGACGCTTATCAATCAGGGGGATTTGGTCATTGACACATGCTGCCCTCCGCCTCACGCTCTCATTCCGCTTCATTCTAAACTGATAACTCTGATCCCTGATTAGTTAGCGCTATGGTTTTATGACTGATTTCTAAATGTATTAGGGGATTATAGGGGATGTTTCCTCTATGAAATAACCGCTTAGTACATGGATGTATCTCATAATACTATAATCTATGTTGCCCTCGCATCGATGCTTAAAATTTCCAACGGGTTCTAGTTTAGTTGTAGGGTGAATTATCAAGAAAATTAGTTATAATTTGAAAGTGGTCTGACTAGATCAAGATCATTGCAAATTCTTTTTCATGTCAATTATACCAATTAGAAACAAATTTTTTGTTTCTTTACTTATATTTAATATGCAGGCTTATTAACAAAATATAAACTTGCTATCAAAATTGAAATCAAAGCATTTTTGGCTTAGCTGTGATCTGGTAAACAGGGCTTTATAATTCAAAATTATCTTAAATTATCTTATACAATTGTAAACTTTTTAACAGTGCACCCTTCCACAAAATAATTACTCTTTTTTTTGTTCGAATAGAACCTCTTGGGAAGTTACAGGTGCCACTTTTAATGTACTAGCATTCTAGCATTCCTGTTCGTCGGTTAAGATTCACGACGTATAAAGGTAATCTTTGTAAAACACAACTAACATAAAGAGCCAGGATCGCACATGCGTAGAGGAAAGCTGTCAATTAGTCGAAATTTTCACAATTCGTAAAAAACCGTTTAAGGATGAATTAAATTATAAAAAAAAATCATTCAACGAGGAGCTCTCCATTCTGGCCAAAAGTACTGAAGACGAACACGATGCACTCAATGCGTAAGCTGATTAGCTGTCTGGCGACGCGTCTGTCCCTGTTGAAATCTCCCATACGAAGGGCCAGCGGAAGCAATAGCTTTCCTGAGCTTTCCATCGCCGACGACGAGGAGGAGTTCGAGCCCGAGCACAACAATAATATACTGGAGCCGCAATATCCGATACTGCGCAGCCATAACACCGACCTCTTTTACATGGCGCAGTGCGTGGGTCCGGCATACCAGGGCCTCATCTCATCAGCGGATCTCCCATACACCACCTCCTACTGCCCGTCAGATGTGGAATCCCATGACAATCAAGATTCACTTGTTGCAAAGCCAAGCGATTTGTGGGTGCTACCCTGCCCCAAGCTGCTAATGAAAAACATGCGCCACTTGTTCCACCACCCGTACGCCCACTTGCACAGCTGTATGAACGTCAGTATGGTGGGAATGCGGTTCGAAGAAGCTGATGTCGATAGGGCCCTTCGCTCGTTCGTTCTTATCGCAAGCCACGAGGTGTGCGAAATCATGGACAATGGCTACTGGGCTGACTTTGTCAATCCACTGACTGGCCGCGCCCACTTCTGGCCCGCACAATCCACACGGAAGCAGTGCCGGGATGCGCAGCTCTTAGGCCACGGCATGACCCTTACCAAATCCAATGGTTGTACCGTAATCGAGAAGGCGGAGGGCGATCAGTTCACCGGCTACATCTTCACGGACATGCCGTGCAAGGTTTTGGATACTTGGTTCTCGTCAGGGATCATGGACGATTTTTCCTAGCTGCTCATGACGCATCTCACTGCTTGTGTTTACAAAGAAAAACCATTTTAGGAAGCACCATTTCATGATTAACAATCAACAAAGTCAACAAATTTTACGTAGTCAAGTTAGCGGAAAGGCAAAGTTTCGATTTATGGCGAATCCCCCAAGTGGTCCAATCAATGTTTGGTAAACATAAAATTATAATAATAAGATGTAACTTTCTAGGGAACGTGGCTGGGCAGTCGCCCAATTAAAGACAGGAAAAAATAAATTCAAGAATCGTTAGTTGAGGATTTATACAATGTTACAATTTTGAAGAAATAAATTTTCAATCTACACTCCCTGTTTTTGTACTACTTTGACACTCAATGGAGAAAAGTATTTCTATAAATTTAAAATATATTATAAGCAGCTACAATATTTTTCCCTCGTTTAATATTCATTAATATGTACTTTAAACCACTTGAATTAAAGTCTAAAGTTCTCGGAACACTAAAGAAGTGATTAACTTAAAGTATCTTTACGGGTGCTCACTGAAATGAATATATAAATGTTTATGTATGGTATACTTAAAACCATTTATTTAAGCTAAAGTAAGAACTGGGTGAATTAAATTAAATACTATTTGCAAATAAAATGTAATAAAGTCAAAAGTAGACTTTTGGTCTAAGCTATCTTTATTTTGTTAAAAGATACTAATAATATGTACATGTTAGATAATTTAAAGAACTTATTATTTTTAAAATACAATTTTATAAAAAATCATTGGGGATTGCGGAAAATTTTGATATGATAATACTGTAACGACATTTAACGTAATATATCGATATTAAATTGGTATTTGACATGATAAAATCGATATTTGGTTTAATAAATCTAACCAATAAAATCGGAAAGAGATGAGCTAATTAATATAATTTAAGGCATCATTTCAGATATTTTTGACAATACTTTAAATATCGATATATTCATCATATATATTTACTTTTTTCAGATATGGCTGCTTGCGTCGCTACTTACCACCATCACCTGGGTGACTTACATCACCTTCTACAATTCCCGAGTGATCGGGATGCTGATCACAAAGATCGCCAACAGGTGGTTCATCAAGGGAGCGTACTTTAAGATCGGATCTGTGGCGCTAAATCCGTTAGCTGGAAAGATTATGTTTCGGGACTTTGTGTATATCACCTACGACTACACGGTGCGAGCACAGGACGGATACTTCATCTTTCGCTGGTGGCGATCATACGTTCCCAAGGATGTGTCGGAGGATCTCTCCCACTCGGACACGCGTCTTTCGGTCCAGTTAAATGGATACGAGCTGCACATATACAACAGATCCGATCTGTACGACAAGCTGGAGAAGACCTTTGGGCTAGAGCCATCGCTGCTCATACCCACGGATGTGGTGAGCAACGAGGAACGGAACAAGCTAAAGGAGCACCACATGAACCTCGAAAATGCGCGAAGAATACAGAACGTTAAGAACTCGGAGGCCATGCAGGCGACCACTTGGAGGGATCTGATTCCAGTGATCAAGATCGACATCTGCTCCGGCCGCTTCGTCTTTGGAAACCGTCTGACCCCGACCACTCTCTCGATTTCCGTGGAGGAAGCCCACTGCACCTATAGTACGAAACCAGCCGTGTGTCAATTGGATCACTTTATGCACTTTGTGAAGGCCAAGGTGGAGAATGCCAAGGTGCTCTTCTGTCCGAGTCCCAAATACACGGGATTGATCGATGAGCCCCCTCGATATATGGGCGAGGGCTTCGTGGTGATGATGTCCAATCAAATGGACTTGTACTTCTATATGGATGAGCCCGGCGTGGTCCCGGAACAGCCCGTTCAGATTGTCCTGCCCAACGGAGATGTGGTGGAGCCCTCGCCCCCCGTTTGGGGTATCAATGCGAGGTGCCTCAAGGGAACGGATTTCAGCTACGGACCCTGGGCCGATCGTCAAAGGGATCACCTGTACAAATACTTTTACCCCTCAGATTGGTTGGAGGCAGAGGTCACGCCGACACCTCAGCCCGGGGAGCTGCGCAGCTATCAGTCCTTCGATGTGACGCTGTGCGTGCTAAATGAGGCCACCATCGATATACTCTTCTCCAAGGAAAAGGAGACGAACGCGATGCACATTACCGTGGGTCCTGCTTCATATGTAGAGGTTACGATTCCCTGGGTCACCCAACCAGACGGCTACACTTCCAAGATCCAGGGTCAGCTCTTTCACGTGGAGGCCACCACATCGCTGCAGTACCGGAGCCTGGCCGAGTTCGAGTCCCTGGAGTACAAGGTGCGGATCCACTATCCGACCAAGTGGAATGCGCCGCAGGACTGGAGTATCTCGTTGTCCGGCTGCAAGACGAGTGCTTTTATTGTGTACAAGCACAAGTGCTTCTTCCAGGACCTGATCGAGGATTGGGCGAACAAGGCCAGGCCGGATGTACTCAGTTTCGTTCCTTACACCTGCAACTTCAGCATTCGGCTGCATGAGTTCGAGATCCTGATGCTCTGCAACGAGTACAACTGGATTGACTGCAGCAGTGCCAATCAGGAGAACAACCACCTGGCCTTCTGCGGGGACGTCTTCGAAATGAGCTTTGCCCTGCCCTTCGATGACTTCCTACCCAAGACGGTTACGTTGAAGTTCTGGATCCACGGCGAGGGCTTGGACCTGAGCTTGTACGTGCCGGAGGTATCCTCGGTGCGTCCCATTGTTTTAGCCATAGACGAGAACGCAAGACTGCTGACCAGGGAGGGCAAGCTCATCAGGCGCCCGGAGTTATACTCAAAGAAGTGGCGCAAGATCTGCCAGCGCTCCGCCGGTTGGATTGACTGCTGGGCTGTGCCAATTTTGGCCCTGTCCATTCAGTATGTTTATCATCCCGTTCCGCCCTTGGGGCCCGATCCCCAGGCGGATATCACCACGCCGGAGAAGGAGGAAATCCTACTGAGTCCCATGCGAATACCCAAGGTCAGGAAGTCGCCAGTGAGCAGCTGGCAGCAGCCACCTGAGCAATACAGTAAGTTCGATCCCGGCACATTGGCGGCGGATCATGTCACCGTTGAACTGGAAATTGGCAGCTCGGTTCTTATGGCGTACGGGAATGTGCTGCGCAACTTTATTAACCTAAAGGAGAACATTTTCGGGGAGGATCAGAACTTTACTGATATGGAGCAGTCAAATGTAAATATGAAGGAGCCGGGGGCCACACAGCTTAATCCCAAAGATCAGCTTTTGGCCAAGGAGAAGGAATTGGCCAACAAATCAATTTCGGAAACTCAAGCGCCTGAGGAGAAGCGCAAGCCCTTTGATCCCCGTCTGTATCGCCCGCTGGAGGTGATGGTGTCTGTGATTGTCCATGATATCCAGGCGCATGTGATGAAGAACTGCAATGCCGACGATCCCCCGTGCCCGGTGGTGCTGATTGAGCGATTTGGCTTCGAGATGAATAAGCGGTATCACGAGACCACGCTACAGGTTCTGGTTAGTCCGTCGTATCTGCTGGCCTCCGATTGCCTGCAGCGCTCGCAGCGGGAGCAGCACATTAACCAGGGTCACCTGATGCTGTCGGCAGTCCAGGTGAGAGGTCATGCCATGTTTAGCAACGAAGGATGTGCGCTGGATGAGGACACGCTAGAGTACTCCTGGCTTGTGGAGGTGCAGTTGGGTAAACTCACAGGAAAACTTACGCTGCCCCAGCTGGTGAATGTGGTCACGGGTCTGGAGACTCTCATCCTACTAGCCATCGACCCAGAGAACTGCTTGAAGTCTCCAAAGACGGTAAGGAATTGTCATCATGGAGTGCCCAGCAATTTGTGTCCCCAAACAAAAGAGGAGAAGAAGTACAAGTGCCCCTCCTCCGAGGATATCAAATACAAAATGACCCGAGTTTCGGTGGATGCAGTTGATGTCTATCTTATTGAGAGCGGCACTGCCCTGCACGCTTGGATCTCACCCATCCGCTTGGCGAATTGTAACCTCCACGGCCAGCGGGTAAAGTCCGGGATCTCTGGCTTGCTGCCCTCCATTTTGCTACGCCTGTTCATGCTGCACACCACGAACTCCTCGTTCAACACCAACACCACGGGCAGCAATCGATCCGGAAAGTTGAGGCGAGCAGATCAGGACTCTTTAAAGTCCCAGGATGCAGCTGGTGGATCGCACTATGCCGCGCATGGCAAGGCAGGCAAGCGCAGCTCCAACTCCTTTTCAAGACGGGACTCTCGGGATGAAGCCACGCGAAAGCTGAGGGATAGTTTCTCGGAGCCGCACGCTAAGCGCACACCGGAAACATCTGATCTCTGCGAAAATTGGGTGGAGGTGGGATGCACTTCGCTGGGTCCCATTCTCCTTGAAGGAGCTTCTGCCTTGCCGATACCGGATCACGAACTGCATCTAGTACAGCACAAGTAAGTCTGGAACTTCGTCAATTTGTGTTCGTTATGTTGCAGCTCTTGTCTTTTGTCAGTTTTCTGCGCGAACATGATGCCAAGTTCAAGCGCTTATGGTTCCTCTGGTCACATAATGGAAGTGCCCTGTCCTCTGGCACCGAAATTTCACGGTGCGGATGCATTGGAGGCTGTGTCTTCTTTGGCAGTAATCGAAATGGTCAGAAGTTCTTCAAGCCAACGGCACAGGATGTCCACGATAACTACAACATTGCGCGTTACTTGTAAGTATCTCAGAAATTTCTGCTAGCTTAGCTAAGGGAATCCTATCCAGATCCTGTCCTTGTGCAAATATATTATTACTTTAGTTTGGTGTCAAATAATTAATAACTCAATTTAATAAAATTTTAAACAAAAAACGTAGAACATAAAATATAAAACGCAAAATATAATCGAAAAACAAAGAACGAACTGAGGATGTCTAGACACCAGTGGCGTTTCTAGTTTACTCTTGGCGCAGCGGCAATTCCCTAACCTCGATACCATCCTTAGTGATGATCTTCATAAGCCAAGAGCCACTGGTGAGGTTTTCGAGTTCGTTGGCAATGACCATGCAGTTAGAGATGATGGAAACCGCCTCGGTCACTTTGATCCTTTCGGTGGGGGCTGTCTCACTCTGGTTCGTGAACCCAAGATGGCTATCCAGCAATGGCAGCACCATGGCGGTGGCCATGCCCGCAGCTTGGTAAATAACCTGCTGGCAGTGACCAAGGGAATCGAACGAAAACACAACACCCTCGCCCTTCTTGTCAATACCGGCCAGAATGGTGGACACACAATAGGGCAAGTAACGGCGCTTGAACATGTTATTTGAGAACATCTGAGACATGGCATCGATGGTAATGGGACGCAGATGAGTGCTCTCGTAGTCGGCCACGATCGTTTTCATCAGACGGATCACTGCAAGGGTGTCGGGCCAGGAACCAGAGGAGCTCATAACCGCCACCGGAGACACTTGGAAGAGCTTGTCCTGCTTACTCGTGGAGTTAAAGTCACTGTTGGTTATTTGAGTATCCGTCGCAATCACAGCGAAGTCGCCACCGGCAATGGCCACAATGGTGCTGAGGGTCAGTAGGAGATAGGGACAAGGTATGGATCAGGAGAAGACTGGGGAAACAAGAGGAACGAAAACAAGAGCAAGTTTACTCACCCGACGTTCAACAAGTCTTCTTTATCTGTTTCCATTTATGTGAATGATTTCAAAGTTTTCACTGACAAATTCAAATCTGTAAAGGAATAGCAAATATCTCCCCTTATAATTTATAAATAATGCTGACCCAATATGGAGTTTTTAACGATATAAGTACAATAAAAATACCAAAAAATTGAGCTGGGACGGTGAAAAAATGATGTATATCATATTTTTTAAATGAATTTTTAAAAACAAGATAAATTTTTATATAAAATTTTTATTTATTATTGAGAATTAAGTAATTTATATAGTTATTAATTTCTAATTTCCACACAGCATTATCAACAATAACAAGGACTTTGGTTTCGGCGAGAGCATTCTCCACCAAGGTCAATTAGTCTTCCACACACCGCCCTATAGCCTGCACTGCGTTTCGCTGTACGATTCGGCCGATTTCAATGGCAAGGGCCGTTTGTACAGACCGGCCGGAGATTTACGCAACGGAAGCCTGAAGAAATCGGATCTCTGTTCCTTACCCGATGGGACCAAGTTCAAGATCGGGGCCAGTGGAACAGCCGGAGTCGAGAAGCCGGACCTGAGTAATCGAAACAAGTCGCGGGAGAGCATTGGATCGCCGAATACTTTGGAAAGGAGAAACAAGCGCTATCCCTGCACCCGCCAGACCTCCGTGGAGGTTCCCTACGCCCGCCTACTGGACAGTCCCTCTAAAAAGCTTCAGTTACAACATGAAGGGTCTGCTGCAGGCGGCAGCGACATGGGAAGTGGGCACCGACGTGGCTCGGACTCGAACAGGCTGCGAGTGTCGCCGCCCAAGACGAGCATTTCGGACTCCAGACTGACCGGGGATGTCCTGGATGATGAACATGAGGTATGAATAATAATCTTAAATATAATATCTTAAATATAATTCATCTTATTCCCTGTGTAGATGCCCGACGAGATGTCGCACTCGGCACCACATTCACATCCCCTGGAGTTTGAGATCGCGGATATAGCTGTACATGCGCAGGGCTTGGGGGGTGATCACCTGCCTCGAGAGGTACAGCGCACCATATCGCTGACATCGGAGAATCCCTCGGAGATGTTCTTCTCCGCCGAAGAGGACATATCTAATGTGATGTCGCAGCGGGGGTCCATGAAGCAGCGAAATAGCGCCAACAGCGGATCAGTGGTGCTGTCTGGAAAGAAGCGATTCTCATCAGATTTAAGGTAACTACAGAAAGAGTATTCCCATTTCGGATATACTAAACATTCTTTCTTAGCATTGGAGCTCAAAACGAGAATGGCAGCCATACCTTGCCCACTTATCGCAGCGATTTGGAGATCCATGCGCCCGACGGCAATAAAACACTTCCGAAGCGCCCGCAGAGCACCACTGAACTGGTAAAGCTGAACAATTCCCAATATCTGACAACACGTCGATTATGTATTCATACTATCAAATATTACGTCATTTACTCAGAGACTTGTACTCACCAATCGCGTTTAGCTTTGCTGCTTTAAAGCCAAGTTTCAAACTATTCACTATATCCTTATCCGTTGATTCGATTTCACCCAGTTGTTGATCAGGGCAGCAAATGACAATCCAAATTCCATTCGGAAAACGCTCTTTCAGTGCATGCTTCGCTCTTTAATCTTTAAGAAAATATATCTCTAACTCTAATATAAATAACTTCTAAGCAACTAAGCAACGATTTTTCAGTATCCAGCTTTTTAAATGTGTTATTTAGCAGGGAGTAGAGCTGGAAATTGAATCGATTCTATAATCGATTTATGAATTGTTTCCAATTATGAATCTAATTTATTATCCATATATAATTGTAATTATTTCCGTTTTGGATTTTCGATTTTTTCTGCAAAATTGAAGACGGAAATAAGATTAGATTCACTTTTTTCTAAATTCACTAAAAATTGATTAATTGCCAGCTCTACAAGGGAGGAAATATCCAAAATTATATCAAAATCTTAACAATTATCCTCAAATCAGTAAATGTACCAAATATACATTTATCGAATTTTACATCAAATCGATTTAGTGTCGATATATCGATATTTCCCGTTCTCTCAAGCATTTACACAGCTAGATATTGAAAGATCGGTTCTAAATCTGTAACTATAATCCACACCTAAAATCTATTCCTTTCCTCAAATCTCGACTCATCTAAAATCGAAATCCAAAACTAACTAAATCGATATAAAAACCGAAAACAAAACTCATCCAGAACGAAGACGCGAGACGCATTCACGGTCTTGCCACACCAATAAGAAAATTAACAAATATATCATCACGACCTGAGTACCGACATTTTGTTCATGATGTGAGTAGTTCTTAGTACCAACAGCAAGAAACAAAAACCCTCTGCTAACTAACAAAGTAGTGCAACTAAAACCAAAATTTTTAAGCTAGTCTCTATTCGGAACCATCTCGATGTGTCTGTAGAAACTTCTTACGTTGATCTTGAACCGCAATTCGTGAAAACTTCTGGCTCGGAGATCAACATTTGCATGGATGTTGAAAATTAGTGCATGTAAAGTTTCTTGATTTAGATTAGTCCTAAGATGATAGGTTCCGGACTTTCTGGCTTAACGATTACAAAGTTTATTTAAAATATTTCTTGCAAACTTGTTGCGATCTTAAATGAATTTTTATTATGTATTTTTGTGTGGTGTATAATTTTTAAAAATTATTTAAATTTCAAGAAAATTTATGAGAACCTGAACTTAGCACATCAACATGAACGTTTCTCACGACTTTCTGCTTGCGCCCTTTAATCTGGCTATATTAGTTTTAGCAGCCGTAAAGCAAACATCACCCTTTCCACTGAGAAATCGTATTGTAATCCCCTGGTCTCGTCTCCATTCTACACAGGCTGATTCCCGTGGATCCTCGTCCGGCACACCATCCCTGTCTTCCAACTCCTTTATCTCGGCCATGTCGTCGCAGGAGGATGTGGCTTTGGTCAATCTCCATCAGCAGGTCAACCGGCCGATCATAGATTCGCCTTTGCTAATGGCCAGCTACCTGAATCACCTGTCGCAGGTGAAGTGCTTCAACTGGAATGGCTGCTCCTTTCCCTTGGGGCCCGATGTCTTTTCCACGCCACTCTTCTCGGAAAACGAAGATGGCGGCCTCACCTATATTGGCAGTAAAATGCTGCCCCACTTCGATCTGTATTCGTGTTGGCGGGAGATCAAGGTGGTTCCCCGATACGAAAACGCAACGGGTAGTAACAGCTCGGCTACGTTCATGGGCGGACCCAAGTCGCATCCCTGGGATCCGAGTGTCCTGCTTAAGGAGGAGGAAGCGGACAAGACCACAAACGGGTTTGACGATGGCGAGTTCATGAGCCTGCAAGCAGAGGGAGGAGCAGCCTGCACATCAGTGGTGGCGCGGCTTAAGGGACAGCTTAACGTCTTCCTAACCCCGCTTCTGTTGGAGGGATTGCAAAGGTGAGTGTCTCTCAATAATCGCATATTTGTCCAAAATATAATCAAGTTTTTGATAATTTGGTTGCCGTTTATAAGAAATATATTTAATAGGAAACATTAACTAGAGTTACAAGTAAAAGAAAATATATAATTTAACTTCGCTTCATGCGCTCATGCGCAAACGGCAAATCCTTGAGTGCCACGTTGGCATTGATCTGGCTACCCTGATCTCGAGGAAACGAGTCCATCAGCTTTTTAAGATACGTCTCTTTGTGGTTCTAAATGCAGATACAGATATGTATTAGGTAGGGATATCATACCACTCACCTCTGGAGCATCATCTGTTGCCTTGGGACTGTTCTCCCGCTTGCCTCTTTTGTTATCGGATGACCAATCTGATTCCCCTGCGGGATTGGGCTCTTTCTCGCCGGTCAGCTTATCCAGATTCAGGCTTTCGCTCAAGCTCCGATCCTCGTTCAATCGACGCTCGTTTTGCCTCTGAATGAGATCGCTCTGCTTGGAATTCAGATACCGAGGCGGATCGCGGGCACTATTAGAAATAAAACTACATAAAAGTTGGTTAATTAAAGCAGATATTCATATGGATTATCCGCTCACCTGTCGACGTCGGAGTGACTTTCCTGCTTGGCCATATAAGCGTTTACTGGTTGTGGTTTATCATTGTTGGTAACTATCTTTCCCCTTCCTTGTGTTGATTTTTCTATTTCGGCATTTCTCTTTCGAGAAAACTGATGTCCTTCATAAGGCTCAAGTGGAGCTGGTTCCCCTTCTACACCATTCAGTTCCGCTTGCTCAGTGTTTAGGTGATAGTTGACCTCTGATCGCTGCTGAATTTGTGTCTGACCTTGAGATATAAGAGCCTGGCCTTCCTGATTTGGATTAACTTGTTGCTCCTCGTCATTTCTCTTTCGAGAGAACTGATGTCCTTCATAAGGCTCAAGTGAAGTTGGCTCAATTTTCGCTTGTTTCTTTAAAGGCTGATTTAGAGTCCATTGCTCAGTGTTTGGATGATAGCTGACCTCTGATCGCTGCTGTCTGTGTGTCTGACCTTGTGGCTTAAGAGGCAGACTTTTCTGATAGGCATTTCTCTTCCGAGATAGTTGATGCTCTCCATAACGCTCAAGTGGGTGATAGTTGACCTCTGACCGCTGCTGTCTATGTGTCTGACCTTGTGGCTTAAGATCTTGATTTTCCTGACAAGCATTTCTCTTTCGGGAGAGCTGATGTCCTTCATAAACCTCAAGTGGGGCTCGTTCTGCCTTGAGCTCCCCTTGCTCAGTGCTTTGGTGATAGCTGACATCTGGTCGCAGCTCTCTATCCTGTTGATGAACCTGATCGCTGTTTAAGTCAGCCTGATGATAATTCCGATGAGTCTGTTTAAAACTGTCTTGATTTTGTAACTGTATGTTAGCCCGATTTTCTTGTTGAGAAATGCCCTGATTTCCTAGCTCCAAGCTGGCCTGGTTATCCTGCCTAAAATGGTACTGATTTGTGGCTTGTTGCTCCTGAGCCGGCTGAAAATTAGCCTGTTTTCCCAGCTGTGAGTTAGCATAATGCTCCTGGCTAAACTGAGGCTGATGGTTCAGTTCTACATTGGCCCAATTTGTCAGTTCTGCGTCCCAATTAGCCTGTTCTATATTGGCCAAATTAGCCGGGTTCAACTTGGCCCAATTTCTAAGTGCCACATTGTCTGAAAAACCCTGTTTCATTTTGAACCACTGATCCAGCTGGAAATTACCCAAAATTTCCGGTTGCACGTCAGCTTGAGATGTTTGCTTCGAGTTGGCCCCTACATCATTTTCCCGATTCAAGTTCTTTTCATACTGAAACTTGTCGTTAGCCTGCTCCAAATGGGATTGATGTTTTCCCTCAAAACTGGAGTGACGTTGGTATATGTTAGCCAGAGACTCTGGCTTCGAGGTAGCCAGATTTCCATGCAGCTCAGCTGGTTCCATAGGCCTGGATTCTTTTGGGAAATCTAAATTTAAGGCTTCATCTAGTGGTTGGCCCTGGTAATTCATAATCGTCTCTATCCCAGCCAACTCCCTCGGTGAAGTGTATTTTGATGGAATATCCACCGACAGGTCCAGCTCCTGGAGAATTTTCTTAGTATTTTCAATCTGCTTCCTAGCCAGACACTGGAAGTCATCGGATTCGCATTCAATATCGTCTTGGAATTTCTTGCGCTTATTCTTATTATTGATCTTTGGGCACTTGTTAAAGACATCCGTGGATCCGCAGGAAGCTTTGGTCGTGCAATCAGGGGTTGTGGGTCGAGTGGTTTTTACGCAACACTTTGAAGTTGGACTTGGACATGGTTTTGAGCGGGAAACCTGCTTTGCCTCTCCGCAATCGTTCTCTTCTCGGCAGCCATCCTCCATGGTGGGGTTTACAGCTCGAAGGGTCTTCTTCATCACTTGCACACTCTGTGGCCCTAGACCCGCCGTGCTCTCTACGGTTTCACCTGATGATGGTGATGAAATTTTAATTTTTGATTACTTACCTTCTTCCCTATTGTCGGCATTTTCAAGAATTAAGTGATCCACGGACTTGAGATCTTCCAAGGTAAGATCATTAAGGGTTTCCCGAACCTCTGCGTCAGTGAGGCCATGTGTTAGATCGGGATAATCCGCTGGGTCAGACTGCAAATTAGGTTCCTTGTATTGATTCTAGAATTGCCGGTTATATGCATTGATTCGCGATTGTGCACCTCTACGTTAACTTACCAAGGGATGAGCCAGAAAGGAATTAACTAGGCAAAGCCAGCATAAGAAAGCTAGCAGTAGCATTTTGATATATGTTTGGTATAATGTCACAACACTCGTTACACTTCGGACTGAGCCCACAAATAACACTAGACCAGTTTTGATTTTGAGATTCCTTTCAAAGTTACAAATGGAAAGGAAAGTTGGAAAGGTCTAATGATCAGAACGGTTGGACCTAGTTTACTTTATCCGATTTTTAATTTTTAAAAAGTTTTTTTATTCTAAAATTCCGATACTGATAAATGAGTATCACAAAGATTAAACCGTTATCCTAAAAGGAGTGTAATTTTGAAAGTCGGTGTACAGGATAACTCTAAATGTACTCAACCAATCGTTTTGATATTTGGCGCATAACTTTTTTAACTAATTCTACTCACGTCTAGCTTTTTTTATTTTAAATTTTATTATATTTTTTATTTAACAAATAAACTTAATTTTTTAGTCAAAAATCAGGGTTTTGACTTCAAAATTTCATATAAAATCGGGAAAAATTAAAAAAAAACAAGAAAGGAAGCTAACTTCGGCACGCCGAAATTTGTATACCCTTGCAGATTGGTTTCGATGTTTATAATATAGATTTAAATGCTGAAAACACTCACAAAACAGTGTTTCATTACATTTTACCTATACTTATTATGTTTACAGTTTGACAGTTACAGTTTTACATTCCCAGTTTTACATTTTCTCTACATCTACCGATCGGTTTATATGGCAGATATATGATATAGTATATGTATAGATTTTTATGAAATTTATACCATAATTCTAGAATAATAAAAAAAGCTTATATCTCAGAGTAGATAAACATACGTTGAAAAACAACGAAACTATAATTTTTTTTCCTATTTATTTCTCGACCGTTCCTATGGCAGCTATATCATATAGTCGTCCGATTTTCATAAAATTTTTACCAAAATTCTGAAATAATATAGAATGGCCATATCTAAAAAATGGTGCAAAAATGTTGGAAAACAGCAAAGTTATAATTTTTGTTCTACAAAAGAAGAACGCGGACAGTTAGGATGTTTTTGGAGGGTACTCGGGAGATTATCTAGAACTCCTAGACTTCTAAATATTTTGTAATACCAAAATTGAACACAAAATTGTTTAAATTTTGTTTATCTTTATGACATTTAATTTTATTTAGCTTAATTTATCCGGAAAATGTTAACCTTACCCTTTAATGAAAAATGGTTTCAGCTTTTAAAAAAATCTGTATTTATTTTAATTTTCTTGCGAGTAATCTTTCAACGATTACCCCGTCAACGTCGGTGGTCAACTTCGCTACAACAAAAGGAGAAATGAAAGACCTTTCAATTGGATTGCAACTAATTAAAAAAACTTAGATCTAAGCTGGTACGAAATTAACTCTTAGACTTGGGGGCTATCTTTTTCGCCAGTGCTTGCTGTTGGTCGTTGCTCTTCTTCTTGTTCGGCTTCTTGGCCTTCTTGATGCCATCAACCTTCACGCCCCGGTATTCGGACTTCTTCTTCTGACCACTGCCAGCTGTTGCCTTGGTATCCTTGGCCGGCGTGCCATTGTCCTTGCCCTTCTTCTTGTCCAGTCGTTTCTTGGCCCCAGCAGAATTCTGTTTCTTGGCCTTGGCCTTTCCAGATGTGTTCGAAGCAGCAGCGGCAGCGGCGGCATCGCGCACCTGCTTGGCGCCCAGCTTCTTCACCAAGTAACGCTCCACGTTGATGGGCCTATCATCAAGGAGGGTCTGATTTAGTTCCAAGGCCAAGCCCACGGCGTCGGGTTTTTGGAAGCACACGTAGGCCACGCCCTTGCAGCCCTTGACGCCCTCCTGGAGGCAGCGGATGTAGTCGATTTCGCCGCAGCTGGAGAAGATTTCACGCAGCTTCTCCTCATTTGCCGCTAAAGGAAAACAGTACAAAGGTTATTCCTTGAATACTTTTTGGGAGTAAGGGAGGAGAAGCTTCCAGGAAGTTCTTATTTTATCGCTTACAGTATTTCAGGCTGCCCACAAAAATCGTGCGCTTGGCATCCTTGTCATTGGGCTGCTCGTTATTCTGACCGTTCCACTCAGCCGCCGCTTTGGCCGCCGGCGTCACGCGCAGATGGTTGTCCTTAAACTCGGAGCCGTGCAGTTCTAGCGCCTTTTGGGCAATCTCCGGAGTCTGCAGCACCACGTAGGCATTTAGCGAGCCGGCATCCTTGCGCTGTTTGTGCTTGAAGAGCAGCTTGCCACCGGCTGTGCGCAGACGAATGGATTGCACAGTTCCGAATGGCTGGAAGAGCTTGACTATCTGCACCCGCTTGGTATTGATGGGCAGATTGCCCACAAAAACAGTGGCTGCCTCGTCGGCGGGATTGCGTTCCCTCTTGACAGCTCCTGTTGGTGGTGGAAATTTGGTAATAATTAGTTTGATTTCTGAAGTTTCAAGAAGCGGATGTGATCAACATTACCCTCATCCTTGTTATTGGCCTTGGCTTTGGTGGCCTTTCCCTTTGGTTTCGCCTTGACGGGCGCTGACGTCGACTTCTCCCCCTCCTTTTTAATGGTCTTGCCCTTAACTTTGGTGGGTTCTGACTCCTGCTTGATGTCCTTGGGTGCCGCCTTATTTTGCTGTTTCTTTAGCTTCTGAGCCAGCTTCTTGGCCTTCTTTTTCTCGATCTTGGCCAGGTCCTTGGCGGACAGCTTCTTCTGGGAGCTCTCCTGGACCGCTGCCTTTACCTCCTCTTTGGGCAGCTTAGGCTGCTTCTTCTTGGCCTTGTCCTTGGGCTTCTTGACCTTCTTGCTCTCCTCCGCCAAGCCAGGTTCCTTTTTCACAGCTTTTAATTCAGCTTTTTTGGCTTCTTTTGTTTTTGGTGTTTTCATTTTGCAGTTTTATGTTTTTTATCAACACGCGGACCGGAACAGTGTGACCAACGCATTGATTTTCATTAATGATTATAGAACGTAATCAAACCACGTCAAGTTGTAGTAACGTAATCATCTGACATGAAGTTACGAAACACACAAAAATATACCAAATCTAGTATATTTATACGATAAGAATTCAAATTGAAATGTTCGTTACTTTTGACTCTGAATATCGTAATAATTTGAAATGTATTTAATCATAAGTGAATTACCACTGATATCAAAAATATCAAAGTTTGGTATATTTATACGATCATTTAAATTCAAAATTTAAAAACTGTTTTAAAATGTTTATTTTAAATTGCTTAACAATTTTAGAAATTAGATCAGATAAAAAATAATTTAAATATTACCTTTAATCTATTTCCAGAATGGTGGAAGCCGCCGTTCCCACAATCCAATCAATGCACCTGCTGTCGGTGGTGAACTTTATACACACCTCGTGCATTGCCAAGGTGAACAACGACAACATCCTGAAGAGAGATCAGAGCCTCAGCTACTGGTCTCAGGTGCACTCCAACTCCAAGCGATCCACAACGGAGAGACACCTCCAGGGGCCCGGGGACTCGTTCCTCAGCGACGTATACGAGGAGAGCATCTCCACCAAGACTCAGGGACTGATTGTGCTGCCCAAGGTCAGCATCACCATGCTGCAATCCTCTATTGTGGAGGAGATCATCTCGGTGGCAGCGCTGGATAACGTTCAGGTAGAGGCAGATTCTGTATTTTACATTTAACTTGGTGCAATTATCATTCTCTTTACTTTTGTTTACTCTCCAGGATCTGAGCTGCGTTTCCCTGCTCACCTTTTACATGGAGGGCATATCCACCAAGTTCCACCTTGGCAAGACCACCCGTGCCTCCATGCACAACGTGTACATCCAGCAGACGGTGCAGTCCGGCAGCAGCCACAAGAAGGGAGGCATCATGAAGGGCACTCGGGCCCTCCTGGCCCACCTCTCGTCGCAAACGCGACCCGACAATGTCCAGGGCGAGCCCATACTGATCGAGACTTCGGAAAAGCAGCTGGAGGAGTTGGTCATTACGCTGGACATCGGCAGAGCCCATGCCCAGCTGCGTCGCCTGAAGACGGAGGGCCAGTCGTGTGCACAGGATTCGCCCATCATCGTCACCGCCATTCCGGAACACAAGAGCAAAGTGCTTTTCGAGTGCCTGAAAATGCCGGAGAGCACGGGCATCGAAAGCATTGGCTACATTATGTTCGAGTGTGGATTGGAGGGCGTGGGTGTGAAGATCGTGAAGCGTTCGCACTTCGAGAAGTCAGAGAACAGCAAAGAGGAGTTGGCCGAGATGGCGGGAGCGGGAGCTGAGGGAGCCACCTCTGCTGGAGGTTTCAATCTCAACGATCTGGTGGGTGGCCAAAGCGACGGAGCAGCAGCTTCTAGCGACGGGGGAGCCACTTCCAAGGCGGAAGCAGCCTGGAGATTGATAACCAAAAAGCCTCCCACTCCCAAGACCCCCAAGGCTTCAGAGGGCAATGCTGGTGGCGGAGATAACTCCTCCTCGGCGGCGGGTGACCGGAAATCCACACCCAAACCTCTAGATGAGGATGTGGAAAAGGGAGCGGGCACTGGGAATAATCCGACAGGCGGCGGGACGGGAAACAACTCCAAGGATGCCTACGACAAGGTGCTGTCCAATGTCAAGGAAACGGACAAGACCTCCTCCTGTGTGATCGAACTGAAGGCGGTGTGGTTCAACTTTGCCGCTCCGCCCTGTGTGCCCATCACGCGGAAGATCGACCTGACACGCCTGGACTGGAATCTTCTCAGCACCGCTTCGCCGGCCATTACGGCTTGGATGAATCCTAGCAACCGACTGGCCATCAAGATCGTGTCCCTCATGAAGGCTCTGCACACCAGGCAGACGGCAGTCGCCGCTTGCCTCATGGCGCAGGCCATGGACAACGAGAAGATCCAGAGGAATCCCAAGATAAAGAAGGTAAGTGGGGCATAGGGCGAGATGTATTTGAGTTGTTATTTTATGGTCTTTCAGAGTCGTTATGCCAACAACTACACGCTGCTGTCCAAGACACTGCAGGAGGATCCCAGCTGCCAGCTGTGCTACATCATGCAAAAGCTGGTCCTAGACGAGGGCGTCGAGCGCATCGAGCCCATTTTCAAGCAGCACGATGTGCCGCATCTCAACACATTGCGACAGGTGAGCAGGGGCCTCGCCTTAAACCTTGTATTTTCTGTGACCAATGCCTCTGTTCCAGGGCATCATTGTGCTGAGTCGACAGTGGAAGAACACCCTCTACAATCCCATTCTGTTTGAGCACCAGTACAAGAACAAGCTGGCGCGGCCCATCAACGTTACCTTCTCGTTCCCGCAGAACGAGGAGGAGGCGGAGAACGATGAGCTTGAAGGTGATGTTGAAATGGGCGCCTATTCGGGCGTCGGCGAGAATCCGGAAGAGAGTGAGAATGCTTTATTACTTGGGCAAACACAGCATCATCGAACTCACATTGGTATTTTTTTGATTAACGCTCTCCTGGTTATATCTCCCTCTAACCTAGTTATATGTATAGTTCTAGGCTCCTCTCTCTGTGTCTATCTTTTCCCAATTCTGTTTGATGCATGTGTTTGTTTGAAGGCTAACCAGAAGTGGAGGAGAATGCCTCTGCTGCGTGTGTGTGTGTGCTAGGGATGGAGGGGAGACTGTCAACCGTTCGATACTGTAGCGATAATTAAAGCGTAAATCGATACACAAATCGACGTTTTATCGTTGCAATAAATCGGTTTACTCAAAAATCGGATATACAAATATTAAATTAAATTTTTTGATATTTTTCTATAAATTTATGTACAATATTTTTCGATATTACAAATTTTGATATTTTCGATATATTCATTAAAGTCACGATATACAAATCTACGTTCTATCGTTGCAATAAATCGATATTCAGTTCAATTTAAAAAATCATAAGTAAATTAAATTTCTTCATATTTTTCTATATCTTTAGGTGAAATATTTTTTTAATATTTCAAATTTTGATACAATATTTTCGATATTTTTTCGGACTTTCCCTATTGATAAACCTCCCTAGTGTGTGCTGCTTTGACCTCTATCCCCTATTTTCCAACCTCTCCTTGATTTCCTTCTCTTCTGTCTCTCAACACACTCCACTCCCCCACAACACAAAACGTTATCCACCGCTTTGAGTGTTCACTTCATTGTGTTTGATGCTTTCCGTTTGCATTATACTCTACCCTACAGTTCAATACAACACTCTTCTATCCTTTCCGGCTATAAACTCTATCTATTTTTCTATGGAACAAAATTTAAACCTAAGTATGTTGTACACTAAGCGAAGGATAGTGTGTCCTTCTCTCCTTAGGTTTCTGTAAGTAATGTTGAATGTTTTTTGCGTTTAGTGTACAACGTTTCAGGGAAGAGTGTTTTTCTCCCAAAGAGTGCTTACCCTTTATTTACCCCTCTATCCATCCCCCTGTTTTGCCTCCATAGAAAACAATCAGTACGGCGCAGGACTTCCGTATGGTCATGAGGCTGGAAACCATGGAACTGCTTCGCAACGATCCACTTCGACTTCGCCAAATATTCACCTCCCGCGTCGTGGGTAAGTTTTTAGTGACTGCCGGCTTACTCATCCATCACCGTAATGATCCCATTAATGCCATGCTTGTGTCGTTGTGTCCATGTGCTTTTCAGCTTGAGCAAAGTGCACAGCAAAGCCTCGAATTATTCACATGGCAATTCATCTCGTTCTAGCATTCAAATGCTGCCCATTATTTCTGGGCTGGTGGAGAAGCAGATGCCGGAATTCGGTATGTCCTTAAGCGCTGTTTAAAGTCCAAAGCTAGTTTTTTACATTCGTATTTTATGGGCACAGAGTACGGTGCCTTGCAGGAGGGCTCCTTGAGCTCCACCAACTCTGTTAATAAATTCTGGCTGGGAGCAGAGAACCACAAGGAGGACTTGTACTTCTGGATGGCCAAGCAACAGGATAGCAAAAAGAAGCACTTTGCCGAAAAGGAGCACGCTCGCCCTGCTCCGCCCAAGATGCATGGTCACTATACGGGTCAGTCTCGCAGCGGCATCATGCAGGATTCCATTAAGCTGCTGGATGCCCATTTGATTTTCGAGCCCCTGCTCACCTGCCTGGGTGTAATGCCCCAGCAGATGATTAACAAGTTCTCCAACGCGGACATCTCGTCGCTGGAGAACTTTGGCACCAATCTGTCGCTGATCGGCACCTTCGATTCCATTCGCGTGGACATCGTGGTCAGCGAGGCGGGTGACAAAAAGAACTCGGCCCAGAAGCCAGCGAAACTGAACAAAAAATCAAATGGTGGTGGCAGGGCCTCCATTATGATGGACACTCCGCTTTTCCTTTGCGAGCGAGTCGGTGTGGAGCTGGAGGTACTCAAGATGTCCGATGGGATGGTGGATCAGGCACGCCAGAATGTCATCTATATGTCGCGACGCCAGCTGAAGAAGCACACCAGCACTGTGATCAACTTCAGCCTGAATGTGAGGTTCATTTCGCAGCAGGTGAACATGCCGCTGCTGCGGCTGCTCCACCAGATCTGCAACATGTATCAGAATGTGAAGGACGCCCAGAACGAGTTCCACGAGCAGCCCGAGCTGAGCAAAAAGAGTCAGACCAAGGATGAGTGTAGTCTGGGTAAGGAATATCCTGTTTTTAAACCAATGACCAGAAATCAACAATAACAAGAATCCAATGGACAGCTTTACTCATCTTGTTATATATTATACCTTCTTTAAATTTACCAATTTCCATATCTTCCTTCAGCATCCGAACCCACAGACATCTTGCCCTTCAATTCGGTAGCCGAACGTTTTGGTCACGGCGAGAACTACTCGGACGAGCGCTACGATAAATTCAATGAAACCATGCCCACGACGATAGCCAGGCCACGCCCTGGCGGTCTGGCGCCCATCATCCAACTCACACCTTCGCCCAACGCCAAGAACCGGCCGCAGAGCTTCGCCCAGAAGCTTCGTTCCACTGGGAAGTCCGTCAAGGGCAAGCTGGGCTACACGAACCTGAATGAGTCCAGCTCCTCGCCCTTGAGGGACAGTCCCACAATGTCGATCCATGAGCAGAACATCCTCAAAATGTCCACGGAGTCGAAGGCCTCTCTGAACGGTGCCTGTGCCACCAGTATGAGTGGTGACTACCAGAATACCCTTACCAAGGCGGGAATGCCGACGATGGCTCCTCTGTTGGAGACACCAAACTGCTGGAAGACCATCTACCATCTGCTGGAACTGTACGGCACCATGCCGGAAACCAAGACAGTGGTCCAGAGGAGCTCTCTGAACGAGCACAAGAGCAAGCCCCATCATGCCTTCGGCAATGATGAAGATGATCTCGCCAGTGCTCCCACACCGGTGCCCCAGCATCGCGAGATGCTGCTGGTGGACGCACCATCCCAGGAGCGAACGCGACTGATTGTCTTTGGGGTGGCGAAAATCCACAAGACTCGCCTGCTGGCCACGCTCTCCGGCCTCAAGTTGGAGTCCGAGATCACCACTCTGAACAGCACGGCCACTTGGCGAAAGAAGGCGCGTCCCGTCTCCTTGGAGTGCTCGCTCACGGGCCAGGTGGGAAGGGCGATGATTGTGCTGCTGGAGGGAGTGGCTCCCAGTCAACAGTAAGTTGGTCTTTTGGGAAGTTGTCCCATTCGCTGGCTTTACATAATTTTTTATTTTCCTCAAGGACTGTTGTAAAGGTGACCGTGGGCAAGAGCCAGACGCTCTATTCGAGCCTCTCGAAGCGGGGCAAGGACAAGAACAGTGGCCTGCTCTCCATCGGAGCCATCAACATAGACATTCCGCAGCATCCAGTGGCGCTGCATGGCATGATGACTCGCAGCTCCAAGCAGTTGTCCTCCACCTTGCAGGAGTTGCGAGTGAAGCGCAATTCTGGTCGCTCAACTCTCCGTTCGCATACGGCTGAGGAGCCTGAGTCACCCTTCCATGCCCGCAACTCGGGAGGAAATAGTAGTGCCGGTGGAATGGCCAGTGAGATGCGGGAACGCACTGTATCCGGTGGCGCGGGAGCCCAACAGCATCACCAGCCCCACCAGCAAGCGGCTCGAAGGGCAGCCGCCTCCCACATGGCTCAGTCCAAGGCAGGAGGAGCCCAGGCTCAGCACCAGAACGGATTGCTGCAGCCCCTGGTCATGCAGTTCAATGTGCTTCTGCAGAGCCTGTCCATCAATGCGGCTCTGTTGCCCTCGCTCCAGGCCCAGTATCGGATGAATCATGTCAGCTCGATGGGAGTGACTGGCCAGCGGGCCAAGTTCGTCATCGATCTGCCCACGCACACGCTCAGCTTCAACACGAAGATTCAGGTGAGTAAAGAGGGGATTTTTGTTTTTGTTTTAATTATTAATTTATTTGTTGTAAATGCGTTTAAATGATTAACAATTGATGGGCCTTTTCCAAAGGGCATAAAAGGCATCCTAAAGTCGCGTCTCAAGTAAACAATTGATATAATAATGCAGAAAAGGCGTGGCCTTATATAGCCTGAACTTCCTTCTTGAGCCAGGTCAAGGTAAAATCGTCTCCTTCGCGTGTCAGGATCGGGGCAAGGGTGTCCCAAACCTGCTGATGATAGCTATTGAGCAGCCTCACCTCCGCCTCGGACAGGAGCTCCTTCTTGATCATTTTCGTTTGCTTGGGGCACATGGTGATGGTCTTAAAGGTCAGGGCTCCGCGGTTGGAGAAGTTGTGCGGCGATTGGGTGGCGGGCACTATCTGGACAATGTCCTCGACGCGGATGCCAAACTCGCCGTCCTGGTAGAAGCCCGGCTCGTTGGAAATAAACATGTTGGCCTGGAGACCAGGGTCGTCGGGCATCAGGCGAATGCCCACGCCCATGGGGCCCTCGTGAACGTTCAGGAAGTGACCGACGCCATGGCCAGTGCCATGCCCATAGTCCAGTCCCACGTCCCACAGCGCCTTACGCGCCAGCGTGTCCAGAACCTGTCCCTTCACTTTAGCCGGGAAAATGGTGGACCCAAAGCTCAGTTGTCCCTTCAGGACGCGGGTGTATGCTTCCTTTTGGAACTCTGTGGGTTCTCCGAAGTGCAGGGTCCTCGTCACATCCGTGGTACCGTCCAAGTACTGGGCACCCGAGTCGCACAGATAGATCTCGTTCTTGGTTATCTTCCGTTTGGTCTCATCCCTGGGATGGTAGTGGATTATGGAGCCATTGGGTCCCGAGGCACTGATGGTCGTAAAGCTCAGGCCCATGTACTTGTCCTTGGAGCGGCGGAAGGCTTCCAGCTTATCGGAACCGGAAATCTCGTCCACTTCCGCGCCAATCTCCAGCTGGTTCTCCAGCCAGGCAAAGTACTGGCACAGGGCCACTCCGTCGCGGACGTGACTGTTGATAAATCCCTCGATCTCCACCTCGTTCTTGATGGCCTTCAGCACGCAGACGGGCGTCACCTCCTGCAGACGACGCGACTTGGGAATCAGGGCAGTCAGGTAGTAGCTGCTGGTGGGGGCGATCCAGATCTTCGACTCCTTGCCCGACACGATCTTGCTGATCTCCAGGCCGATGGACTCGTAGGGCAAAACAGTTATCTTTACATTGTTCTCCTGCTGGTGACTGGCAAAGTCACCGGGCAGCTTGGCAGAGTCCACGAAGAGCAGCAGCTCGTCGTTGGTCACAATCAAGTACGCAAAGAAGACGGGGTTGAAATCAATGTCCGACCCGCGCAGGTTCAAGAACCAGGCGATCTCGTCGAGGGCACTGACCACCAGGGCGTCCGCGTTCTTATCCTTCATTTGCTGGCGCACAGTCTCCCATTTCCTCTCCACCGGCACGCCCGCATGCTCCAGCTTCAGGCTGATAATGGAGTTGGAGGTTCGGGCCGGTTGACCTGCCCCGCTCCACACCTCGTCGATGAGGTTGCTCTCGATGGGCACCATCTGGCACTCGGCCGAGTTCAGCTCGGTCTCGATGGGCTTCCAGCCGCGGAAGGACAACAGGCGGGGATCCACGCCCACGGAGCTGCCCTTGGCCAGGTTCTTGGCCAGCCAGGCGCCAATGGAGGGCGTGGTGGTCAGTCCGTCCTTCATGAGCACCCAGTTATCGTCCAGCTGCTTCTCCGCCTGCTGGTAGTACCGCCCGTCGGTCCACAGCAGGGCCGTCTCGGTGGTTATCACCGCCGTTCCCGCTGACCCATCGAATCCGCTGACAAAGGCGCGCCGCTCGTCGTGCTGGCACTGGTACTCCGACTGGTGGGCGTCGTCCGAGGGCACTATGTAGGCCGCAATGCTGGCGGAGTCGCCCACCTTGGCCCGCTGCATCAGCTCCCTCAGCTTGCCCAGGATCTGCGTGGTGCTCTTCATGTCGTGGTCAATCCTAAATGGCCGAACGGAGCGCAGAAACAGAGAATTTAATCGGCAATTTGGCTCAGCTTAAGGCGATAAGATAATCAAACGTAATCGCGCCCCGTTTCGTTATAAATTATCGCAAAACGTATAAACGTCGTACTCACAGTGCCTGTCAAACTTTATTGTTTAAGGGAAACAGGGTGGGTGCGGCGTTTGTTGGATGCCAGCCGCTATTTTTTTTTATTTTTTGCAATGACAAACAATTTTGCAATTATCTCACTCGCCAAAAAGCACAAAAATTGCCATGACTTGTATTTAATTTGGTATTTTTTCACACAGGAGGGTCACACTATTGTTTGGGTGTTTAAAAATAAAGCGCCAAAAAATGAAATTATTTAGTAGTAATATTAATTTAAAAAGTAATTTTTAATTTCATTTATATAAATATATTTAAAATATTTTAATGGTGACTTACCATCCATTAAAGTTTATAGAATTTTAAATATAACTGCATTTGTGCTTTAAATTTTAAAATATCTAAGACTGTTTAATTTATTTATAAAAATAATAATTATTAATAATAAAAAATCAACTGCTCTTTTAAAATTTATAAAATAATGCTTAACACTTCTCCTGAATTTCATTTTTCAGAATGAAATGAATCTGCCATCGGAGGCCTGCATTGGCCTGCCCCCGGTTCACGTCCTGGCGGAGTATATCCCCGACCATCGGCAGGACCACACTGAAAACATCGAGGGAATCGTGCTGCGTCAAGGCGGCTACGTGAATGCCAGCGCCGAGATCGGGGAGTTCGAGCGCTGCCTGACCACCGATCTCCTAAACCATCTGGTCTTCGTGCAAAAGGTGTTTATGCGCGAAATCAACGAGGTGCTGCAGAAGGTGTATGGAGGCGAGAAGCCCGTTCCACTGTGGACGGAGGAGAGCGGTGATAACTCCGGAGCCGTGCAGGAGTCGTCGCTCAAGCGCATCCTCTTCTCCATCAACATATCGATGAAGCGCATCCAGCTGACGGCCACCACACCTTGCTCGTCGGCGGTTCGCTTCGAAACCGGAACTTTGGAGCTGCAACTATCGAATCGGGTGAAGAACCTGGGCGATCTGAGCAACCGAAAGCTCTTCTTCAAGGCCCACATCGATTTCAATCTATCCCTGGGCCAGATCATCCGCAATGTGATCTTCGACGAGGCTGAACCGGAGTTCCAGCAGTATGCCTTCTTCCACACAACGATTGGGCTGAGGAATGCCTTCCAGGACGAGTTGCTGAACGAGGACAAGGAGTTGATTCTACTTACGCTCAAGAGACCGCTGGTCTACGTGCAGCCCATTGCCGTGGATAAGGCCATCCTCGTGTGGCTGAACTACAAGAATGCCTACGAGTACTGGGCGGAGAAGCGGGCAAACCTCTGCCACGAGCACGTCCAGCACAGCCAGTACGGTCAGTACTCGGCGGCCCAGCATCAGAACCAGAATCCGCAGGTGTTCGATCGCGTGGCCTTCGGCCAGATAGCCAGCTCCAACCTATCGACGCTCTTCCTGCAGCTCACCGTCGAGGACATGGGCATCTGCCTGCCCCTCAAGCAGGTCAACACCACGTTTGGCTCCCGTTCCTACCAGGACTTTGATGCAAAGGGTGCGGTGGTCATCACGCTGGAGAACACTATTATATCGGCGTGCAACTCGGGTGCCTTGGTGTCCAAGGGCAAGTTCCAGGGACTGTGCCTGCGCTTCGCCGACGACTTCGAGACGAATCTGGACGACTGGAAGCCCAATAGTGCCGAGCCCATCATGAATGTCTGCGTGGTTTCCGAGGGAACCTTCGAGGTGTGCTCTCGCACCACGGCTGCCAAGAAGGGTGAGAACGCCAAGTGGCTGCTGAATGTCAAGTGGCAGATGGAGGGCGTGGACATCCATCTGGATGTGAACATTGGCAAGCAGCTGAGTTCCCTGGGCCACACCCTGACCATGCTCACGGGCTTCGAGGAGGAGGAGACCCAGATGGAGTCACCCGACAGCGACGAGGGGGATCAGAGCTGCAGGGATACCTTTGTGAGAAGGAGAGGCGACTTCGACAACCTGCCAGCCTTTGTATTTGATCCCACCATCGACTCCAAGAAGCGTTCGTTCATGATGGAGAAGGAAATGGCCGAGCAGCTGAAGATCATCAACGATCTGCGCACTCTGGGGGCTTCCCACAACACCGTAGCCCACGAGGAGCGGCGACTGCAGGAGCTCCAGGCTATTTGCTACAAGTATTTCCGCCGTGACATGATCCAGAAGTGGAAGAGGCCTTCGCTGAGGCGATCCCTCAAGAACTACGGTCGCTCGCAGTCGTATATCGGAGCAGGATCTTCGGTTAGTGGGGTGGGAGTTCCTCAAACTCTGGACAATGGAAGCTATGCAGGCCGAAGACTGGACACCATTGCCTCCAACGACGAGATATCCAGCCTGCAGAGCACTCCTGCTTCCTGTCACTCGCGCAGTGCCTCCCTGAAACAGACTGGAGGAGGAGGCATAGTCGGCGGAGGCATTAATCCTCTGGGTCGAGTGACCTTCACCGAAGCCATGAGACAGACATCGCTTCCCAATGCGGACACGGACACGGAGACGGCGGACAACGAGCTGGACTGGCGCGGGGACATCACGCCCAGCGAGATAGATGTGGACGGCACCTCCGTTGAGATGCGTCGCAAGCATGGCCATGGCCAGAAACAAGCTGAACCCAATATAGATTTCGAGCTGGACATCAAGGTTCTGGTGAACTCTGGGAAATGCGTACTCCACACCAAGGAAACGGGCGAGGACAGGGCCCAGGGTTATGCAGCAGGATCAGGAGCAGCGGGCACCAGCGTACCAGCTTCGAGTGTCAAGTCCCATAAGCGTGAGAGGAGTATAGGCAACGATTGGGGCAGTCCCACGCCCTCGAGAAGGCAGAGGGACAAGAGCAAGCTGCGCTACAATGCCAACGCACTGCTGGCAGATCTCACCATCTTCCACATCCCAGGATTGGATGTGAAGCTGCACTACCAATCGAAAACGCTGCCAGATCAGGTGTCCGGGGATCAGATGCCGCCACATGGTCGCCGGTTGGGCAGCAAGCGAGCCACTTTGTGTGCCTGGATGACCCTGCAGAGTATCCCGGAGGAAACCATCATATCTCCTCATATTCTGGAGTTCCTGGAGCAGACCCTGGAGCCCATACCCGCTCGCCAGTCCAGCAGTGTTCCCCCAACGCCCTCCCACAACGCAGCCGTTAATCTGGACATACTGCCTGCCAACTATGTGACTTATGCCTCGTTCCCCGTAGACGTCATCGTATATTTCCACATGCAACCCTCTACGTTCCGCTTCAGCTGCCTGCCCGTCTCTCGCGTGGAGTGCATGCTGCAGTTGCCCAGCCTGGACATTGTATTCAGCTCCAAGCGGAGCAGCGAGGAGGAGAGCTCAACCACGCACCCGGGAAGTCACGCTCACCCGGAGCAGCCGCTGCCCACTGGCGGACTGAGTGTCACCGGCTGCCTGGCTGACTTCAATGTGTTCATCTTCCATCCCTACGGCGGGAAGAAGACCTCCAAGGAGACTCAGTTCTCGCCGCTTAGCGACAGTGAGAGGAAGGACTCCCTGAGCATCAACGTGGAGTTTGTCAAGTTTCACATTACGCGCTGCCGCAAGGTCTACATCGAGCCCCTGCCCAGCTCCAAGAGATCTCTGGATCAGTCCCGAGCCGTGATCCGCTTCTCCACCATTGTGGACATTGGAAGTGCCAGCTTCAAGTACGACATGAGAAGATTAACGGAGATCCTGGCTTTCCCCAAGGCCTGGTATCGCAGGAGGATCGTGAGACGCCTCTTTCTGGGCGACCTAAGTGTCCACCAGCAGCAGCAGCAGCAACAGCAGCAGCAGCAGGGAAATGGTGCTGAAACCCCAACTGGATGCGCTCCTGCTACCCCAACTCCCAGCGAGGATGCAAGCAGGGCCAAGGACAAAATGCGCCTGGATTTCGATGCTCAGCCGCAGCAGCAATTGGGGCACTTTGGTGCTGTGAGGAAGCTCAAGAACCTGGGCAAGTCCTCCAGCGCCGAGTCCTCGGGAACTCCTCCGTCTGAGAAGAACCAAATCACCGCCTGGGAGACACTCGTCCTGTTCGCAGTGAATTTCACCAAGCTGAATGTGCAGATGAACATTGGCAACGTGTGCGGCAACGTGGTGTGGCTCACCAAGGACTTCCAGTCCGATGGACGACTCTCCATTGGCAGCACAGGCTACAAGAACATGTATGCTGGCATCTACCTGGGAGGATCAGCTCTGGACGCCAAGGGTGGAATTGTGGGCGGCAGTTTTGAGGTGAACAAGATTAACAAGCGATTCCACATCAAAGAGGAGGCAGGCATGGAGCCGTACCACACCATGGGCCTCAGTTTTATGGCCTTGGAACTCAGGCTGGACTACATGGGAACTTCTGTGCTGATGACACGCATCAGCAGCTTCTCCGCCGCCATGAAGGACGAGTGGCGGACTGCTTCCCAGGCGGCAGCAGCTCCTCCATCGCATGGCAAGGATCAGGCCAGAGCTCTGATCTTTATCCATGGGGATCTCAGCTGGGACCAACTGCAGATCATGATCAGCAAGTCCACAACCGCAGATTTGCTCAAGATGTACTTCAAGCTGGAGGAGTTCTTCACACAGCAATTCAAGTCCTCGAAGAGAGTCTTCTCCAGTCTGGAGCCGCGACTCCAAGACCGCTCTGCCAGCATCAAGAGGCGACAGCAGCTCAAGAAGAAGCCGGCCAACGGAGAGCTAGTGGCCCCCGTACCCATTCAGGGTTTGATTGGGGAAAATACCGACGCACGTCACCATCGTCACTGGCAAAAGCCGCTGGCCCAGGCCGTTGGCCTGGTGGTGCCCTCACTGGTCACCCGTCTGCCGCGTCATGGCAACGTCTTGGGCGGCACCGTTGAACTCCGCGGGCAGAACATCTCGCTGGCCTGCTTCCATGGCATTAACTTCAAGTCTAAGTCGTGGGCCCTGTTCAGCCTAAGATCCCCCTCGATCAACTTTGCCACTGAAGCGCGACAGAACGAGGATGAAGTGCTGGTCACCCAGACCCTAACGTCTTCCCTGGGACAGACGACGGAGGTGCAGCAGCAGCAGAACCACTCGATGGCCATCGTGAGTCGCATCACGCGGAACATTATCTTTCCGCCGCAGTTCAAGACTTTGAATGAGTGGTTCCACTATGCCTTTGCTAATAGTGAGATTGATGGTGAGTTTTGTGGTTTTAACCAAGGATAAATAATCCGTAACCGTAACCTTCTTTCAATTTCTTCCCCTAGCTGTGGATCGCTTCCCCATTCTGGAGTGCGAACGGGAGATTGCCTCCAATTCCATTGAGCGAACGCGAGCTTCCGGCAGCAGCAGTGCCGCCAAAGCGCAGGAGCACAACCATAACCGGGAGGTCATCTTTGCCCTGCCTAGCCTGCAGCTGCATTTCAAGACTGAGCACAAACAAGGACCAACCACCCCGGAGCCAAGTGGTGAGTTTACCCAAGCTTAAAAGTTTACTCTAGCCCAATCCTAATTAATTTCCATTTAAATTTTACAGAAACCAAGCCAGAAGTCTTGTGCAGCTTCATCACCGAATTCGATGACCACATCTTTGTGACCGTCGATGCGGACGCCTTCTTTTTTCTCCACGATCTCATCACCTCCTATGTGACTGAAAAGGAGAAGGTGGTAAGTAGTGATATCGCAAACTTTGATTATTAAATCTGAGATTAACAAAATCGAATTGCCAGATTGGAGCTCAGTCGGCGAGGGCTGCGTCGCCAAATCTTTCGCAAAAGGCCAACCTGAAGCCATATCTGACCGACGAGATCCTGAAAGAGAAGAAGGGCGCCTCCAATACGAACTTGACTGCCCAGGGCAAGCAGATGAGCGCCAGCAAAAGCAGTCTGGATCCGCTGCAGGGCAGTCACTCAAGCCTAGCGAACGCTGCCTCCAATGTGTCAGGAGCAGCGTCAACGACCACGACATCACCGATGACTGCAACCACAGCAACATCATCATCATCCGCAGCCGCTGCAGCCGCCGCCGCCACATCGACATCGAGTGGAGCGACAGGGCCATCGACAGGCTCTTCAAACGACGCCACCGATGGCAAGCAGGAAAGCTCTCCGCCGAGCTTTGATCTCGAATCGTTTGTGCGCGATTGGCGGCACTTTGAGTGCCAGACATGGCACCTGGAGCCCACAGTGCGCCTGCTCTCGTGGGCCGGCAAGTCCATCGAGCCGTATGGCGTTGATTACATACTCAACAAACTGGGCTTCAGCCATGCCCGAACCACCATACCCAAGTGGCTGCAGCGCGGATTTATGGATCCGCTGGACAAGGTGCAGGCCCTGATGATGCTGCAGCTGCTGCTGATGGTCCGCGAGAACAAGGTGGAGCGGGATGGCGGGGGGGCCAGTGGGTCTGGCAAGCAGCAGAACCATCGACCATCAACGAATTAGCCATGACAGAGCCACATTCATGACAATTGACAATTGCCCAAAGTCGTTCGATTTAGTTTAAGTGTAGCAATGTATAGATTTTTCACCCGTGTAAAGTTTTATATATTATTTATTATCCCGGATGACCTGGCATGCTTAGACGTTTCAACTAGCGGTATTATTTGGCCAATAAGGCAGCTTCTTCTTCTGCAATGTAAATGGTTTGCTCTCGTTCCCCCCTAATTTTAGGCGTATTTGTATCCTCATCCTCTTTTATAGGTGTAACGTCAAGTGCTTCGTGTAATTTGCTCAATTTTTGGCGCTTTGTAACTATCATTACATCGTTTTGTTGTTATTCCTAGGATATACTTACTATGCAACAAGGAGCAAAGCAATTGTGTTTAAACTATAAGTAGCTCTAATTGAATATACATGATTATTAAATACAACCAAAAACCGTGTAAGACTATCGATAAGTAAATGAATAAACTTTCGGAAGAGCATGTGCAGCAATGTGGGGTTATTATTAGGGATGGAAAGGGAAGTTGAGTAGAGGTTTACTCTCTAGTTACTGTTTGTACAGAAAGCCTTTCCTTTTGATCTTCCACTGAAATTAACTTTTCAATAATAACTACTATTCTAAAGAACCTTGATCCTTTCAGTTTTACTTTTAGAAGGAACTACAAAAACAGAAAATGTTCCGGTTAATTTCTGCCAGAGTTTTCCCGCTCCTTAGCAGCATCCTTCTGGCCTCGGTGGGTGATGTCCTAGGCCTCCTACTTGGCCTTTTTGTGTGTATTTTTTTTTTTGTTTTACCCGAGTAAACTTTGCATCCGCAACGCGTATCCGTTCAGGCTCTCGTTTTGTCCCGCTGGCTGAGCAGTGCTTTCTTGGCGCGCCTTTCAACGTTGTTTTTCTTCGCCTGTCACTGGCTTTACATTTTCGGGGACGAGGTCTGAGGCCGAGGAGAGGGCCTGTGTGTCTTTGTAAACATTTCATTTTCCATCAAGGTTGCGTTTTTAATTATCTTTCCTTTCTCTGGTTGCTCTCGATGTGATGGGCTCTTTCTTATTCTTTTTTTTTGTAGCATATTAGGTTCAGTTTTTTTTTTGTCAGTTTCTACATCATTTTGCTGCCTCTCCGAAGCAGTCGCCCCAAGTTGATGAGCTTTTCACGCATTGTAGGCGCGCGCGGAATAAAACCCCAGAGCTCAGATGGGCTGGGCGGAAAACAGTAGGTGGTGGGTGGGTGGTGGTGGTGGATTCCCCCCTTTTGGCAAGGGTCGTCGTGTCTGTAGCTCGAGCCCTGAATGCGAGTGGTTTACTTTGGAGATTAGTTTATCTAAAGTTAATGAGGGTTAAAACTAATAGGCGAATGGCTTAATTTTTAATTATGAGACTTGCTCTTCTTTTGTGGTTTCTTTTCTTCGCCCCATTTTTTCGTCTTTGTGTTTGGGTTCATCTTGTTTTGATTTCCCTTGCATTTTTTTGTGGGCGCTCTCGCCCTTGACGTTCTCGGTGGCAGTTAATTTAAACCGCCAGCAGCTTAATGGCCTTTTTAAATGGGATTTTAAACAGCAAGTGACTTAAAGTCCCTTAGCAAACTAGAGGGATCAGTGGGGAAAAACGATTGGGTAAATAAACAATTTGACTTCTCCGATTCACTCGACCCTCCCTTTGGTCATCCGATACACTTTTCGTTATTAGTTTTCCCCCGAATTCGCTTGCGGAAAGTTGTCCATGGATTTTTCGGCTAGCATTTCATTTGGCAGCTGCTCCATAAATTGTTCACGCGTGTTGCCAAGGTGCCTTGGACACTTTTTCAATTAATTGGCGAAATTTCAAATTTCACTTGTTCCTATTTTTCAGGTCTTCTGTATTTCTTATTTCACAATTTATTGAGTGCGCACACAGGTTTGAATTACACTCATCGCCGCTGCTGTACTGCCCCCTCGCATGAAATATGAGATAAACTCGCTCTTAACAATCGCATATGGTAGATACAAGTATTTGAACACACATACGGTGCGGTATATATATTCGAAATGCCATTAACAACATAAGTCTATCAATAAGAACATAAGGTTTGTGCCAGTTTGTGAAAAAATAGCGGGTTGTTTCTTGGAAAATCCCTTGTTATGTCAATACTAAATGTTCGGTATGATATCTATTAAATTATATCGAAAATATATTGACAAAAATTGATAAAGTGAACTTAGTTTAAGATCCTGTATATATATATTTCTAAATATAAACACAAATAAGAAATAATGGTTACCTTTTCCCTAGATCCCCTTCACACATGCTTATTCCCAGGGTATCAAAACTTCGTCTGTGTACAGCCGGGGGCCTCAGTGTTATTTATTAGACCAGTCGAAGGCAATCAAGCACAGGCTGTGCTGGGCCCGCACAATTTATGCCGCGCAACCCTTGAGCCCAGGCTCTAAATTATTTTTTAATTTCTTCTGGCCCGAGCCTAAGAAAACTTTCGGCATTCGGCCGAGAACAACAAACAACATAATAATCAAGTCAATAAAAAAGTCATAAAAAATAGAACACAAAAAAACAAAACCGAAAATATCTCAAAGGGCCAAGGAGGCATGTCCTGTGGCCAAGTGTATTTATCTGGGCCTGTGTGAGTGTGACTTGTGGCATGACCAGGACATGCCATAGACAAATATCAGACAAGCAGAGGAGCAAAGGAGCTGGGGAGCCTGGAGCCGGGAGCCGGGAGCGGAGACAAGGACTTGTAAGAACGATAAAGCAGACAATAAAAACCACCAAGCCTAATAAAAATTACATTTTATTTTATTTCCTGCCACCGCCACCGCCCCGTCCGTTTCTTCGCTCATCGAGTGTCCTCCAGTGAGAGGCAAACAATTTTAAATAGTCGAAGGCACGCACGTCAACAGGAGCAGTCTGAGCTTCGTCCTGGGAGTCCCTAAACTAAAGCAAAAATATTCGGCTGTCAGATAGCGTGGGCAGGACACTCTGCCTCAGCACCCGCATCCTTCGCGCTGTAATGTTATGTAAGTAATGACTCCCCCGTGTGCCGGCCAGTGCACAATTTGTGGACATTTAACTGTTTCTAATAATTATGTAAATGTCCGTCACTTGATGCGGCACTTTTGTGGCCAGAGTCCCCCGGATTCTCCTTCGCGACTCCGTCATTGTCCGTCGGAGCAATTCCTCTTTGTACAATTATGTGCAGTCCATGGGAAAATAAAACGAAAATGAGGAAAGAACATTCCTTTCCACTACTACAACGGCGGGCCAGTGTCAAAATTAATGATGTTCCGGGAGCGTTCCTGTGGGGCCTGTTTCTGGTGTGGGCCCCAAGTAGATTAAATTGACATAAATTTAAAATAACAAATTTTATTTACGAGCAAAATAGAAAGGGATGATATCAGTTGTGGATTTTAAAAGTTATCCATCATGCGTGTGGGCCTTTCGATTTATTTTATTTAGCTTTCTATATTCGGTTTATTTTCTAATTAATACTCATAATTAAAATTGTGTAGACTAATAAACAGTTGATTAAATTGGAATGTGAAATCGCTCTTTAGCGATATACTTAAAGTGTCCAAATTTGTCTAGAATCCTAAGAATATATTTTAAAAATTAAGACTGCATATTGCATACCCATTAAAGAAACGCTTATGAGATATTTAAAAACTTGTTTTAAAAATAAGAAACTTTTAAACTAGATGTAATTTATACCTGCCTGGTTTTTACTTCCATTAATGGCCCGCTGCTTGGCCGGCAACAATGGTCCTTGGTCTTGGTCTTCGTGTTGGCTTTTCCTATTCCTATTCCACTGCAGCGAACCATAAAATTATTATGCAAATACGGAGCGGGCGTGGCAGGACATGGGCCAAGGGACAGGAGTGTGCACATATTAGGGCTACAAGCCGTTAATATGCAAATGGCACCGCGGCTCATTCATAAAAAGGGATTTTAAGTCCTTGAATGCCGCCGCCGTAGTCGTCCTCGTCGTCGTCGTCGTCTGGGTGCTGGCAACAGGATGTGCCGGCCATTCAGGGCGATCACGATGGGAGTCGGAATCTGGAGCCGGGTGTGGAATGTAAAAAGGCAGGACAATGGCAAAGGTTCGCATGTGCATAGTTTGTAAGACTAATGAGCGGTGCAAGGTGGACTGGGGAATTAAAAGTGAATATTAAAAAGGGAAATACATAAGAAGCTGGAAGGGTCTCCTTGGAATGTTAGTGTGAAATATTGTTTAAGATTTGAAAGGAAGATTTATGAGTTTCGTTAAGTCCATCATTTACCTTCAATCGATATTTGTGTAATTATTACTATATAGTTCAGATCTATAATATATAGTCAATTTGGAGTTTATAGACAAACCATATAAAAATCGCCAAGAATATAACTTCCTCTTTATAAAAGTATTTTATAAAGATAACAGGATTATCAAGAAGTAGATTGTTGAACTGAACTTACTTGGTAACAAACGTTTACTATAAACTTAAATATAATTCGTGAAAATACTACTGCCTGTTGTCATTCAAAATTACACAAGCTCCTAGTCATAATTTACACAAATGGTCGCCTCTAAGGATATGTAGCTGCAGCTGCATGTAACCTTAAATTAAGCCATATTTTTATTTCCAACGCACTGTAATAGATGATTTTTCAGTATATTATACCACAGCCTCGAATCTCACTTCGCAGAATTGCATAAGGCAAGCCACAAAGGAGAGCAAGGAGGAAAACTGCGAACTGAGGAAGTGCGCACACAAGAATTTCGCCACTCGACTGTGGCAGAGTAATTTCATAATTATGCAAGCGCAAATGCCATTGTGTGACCTCCCTATCCACTCCTGAAAGGACCTTCCTCCCTACCATCCCCATCCACCCGCAGTGTGTGAGGCAGCCTCAAGTGCAGGGGCAGAGTGTATAATTATTTGTTGCCTTGTAATTTTTCACTTACTTTCCATGGTCCGGGGCGTGACATCCGTTTTCTGCTGGCAACATGAAAAAAAAAACCCTGTGCAATTATTTTTAATGCTTCTCAACTAGCGAAAATGAAGAGAACTTTCTGTATTTTCTTTTGTTCAAGATTATCCCCCAATGGAAATATTTGAATCATTATTACGGTAGAAGGACAAGGATTTAGATAAAGAAAGGCTCTAATTTAGTTATAATACATTATAATTAAGTCTAGCTTGATGTAAACCATTCTGCTTCGATATTTTGTTAAGGCAATTATAATAAGTTAAACCTTATTCAATCAGCAATTTTTCAACTGCTAATACAAAGCATTTTATTTTCATCTAACTACATCCCATATTTTTTCCACACTTTTCCCTGATTCCTTCGGTGGATTCCATTTACCAAAAACACTTAACGCTAATCATCATATAAATGGTTTGTAAAATATTAGATAAGAGCGACCAAAAAATAAACTGTTAAATGTTTCGGAATTAAGTGCGTGATTTACCCCGTTGCTGGTTGCCATTGCTCTGCGCTTTCCAACCACC